TTCCGGGGATGTCTCCCAAGCTGAATCATCATCTGTTGACCTTGGTCGACTTGCTCTTGATGAATGTAATACGATTATATGTACATTGTTTGTGTAAGAGTGAAAGTTTCCTCAGTGCACTGAGATAGATGCACACTTGAAGTGAGATAGATGTACACTTGATGTGAGATAGATGCACACTTGAAGTGAGATAGATGCAGCACACTTGAAGTGAGATAGATGTACACTTGATGTGAGATAGATGTACACTTGATGTGAGATAGATGCACACTTGAAGTGAGATAGATGCACACTTGAATTGAGATAGATGCACACTTGAAGTGAGATAGATGCACACTTGAATTGAGATAGATGCACACTTGAAGTGAGATAGATGCACACTTGAAGTGAGATAGATGTACATTTACTGATGGCGTTAAGGAATAACAGTGAGTGAGTGAGTTTGGTTTTACGCCGCTTTCAGCAATATTTCAGCAATATCACGGCGGGGAACACCAGAAATGGGCTTCACACATTGTACCCATGTAGGGAATCGAACCCAGGTCTTCGGCGTGACGAGCGAACGCTTTAACCACGAGGCTACCCCACCGTCCCTGAGGAATAACAGACTCTCGTGGTATTGTACAGTGTTGATTAAATTACGTGAGACTTAGGTTCATGCTGTTTTGTGATAGCTGAATGAGAGGGTTATGCAAACATGTGCGTGTGTGTTTGCGTGTGTGTGTGTGTGTGCGTCTGTGTCTCTCTGTCTCTCTGCGTCTATGATCAGTCACGGTTTGGTGTTTGTGTCAACGTATACTGTTATCTTACTAACAGCCAAGATTTGTGTTAGATTACACAGAGTTCATAGCTATTCAAACCGACATGACCTCAATATACTGCATGCCGAAACTTCATAACAAGTCCGATACACATCTGGGTGCATCTGTTGTACAGTCAAATCAGTCTTCGATCTTAACAATCGTTTTGATTTCAGACGATTCTGGTTACAATTTGTGTGACCTGGCGTGCTGACTGGATTATTGCATGTCATCGTAGATCGATGCTCATGATCCTAATCAATGGTTTGTCTGGTCCGGCCGTTGTTGTTTACAGATCCCCGTCAATAGGCGGAACATTGCAGAGAGTGGCGTCGAAAAACAAACAAACAATAATCCTTATACACATAAGAAAGGACATTACTTGTACTCACAGAACATATCTGAGACAGCTGGCATTAATGTGTGGATTCATTGCATTTCAAAGGATTTGCATGAAGTTTTGCATGTGAGAAACGAAAAGTTGACATGCCAAATCTTTCGATTTCTTTACTTTGTGCACCATGATTCCGCATAACAATTTAAAAACTTTAATAATTTCATTCCTTGGAATAGAGATTCAATTGCATCTCACAATTTGTCACAAACGAAGGCACCATTCAAGCGAATTTCAGTATGGACCAGGCAATCACCTAGTGATTACCATCTAATTTCCAAACAGAATATAGTTACTGATGGAATATTGATCTTAATATATGACAAAGTATTTTCATTTTTAAATATAAACATACCAAGTCGGGGTCCGTTTCACAAAGCTATCACAGCGTTCGACTGTCGTACCTCCTATACTGTAACATAGACTTACGACTGTCGTAGCGCTACGATAGCTTTGTGAAACGGGGCCCTGCTCTTGGCCTCAACGTCGTGTATCTGATAGGTATTTGATTGTGAAATCATTATATTTCAGCTGTATGGCGGCGGTCTGTAAATAATCGAGTCCGGACCAGACAATCAAATGATCAACAATATCATCACACTGGTGACGTTTTGCATGCTATACAAGGTAGTCGTTCCCCTCATGTCACAGGACCACCTCCGTGGTGTAGTGGTTAGAGCCTCCGCCCGGAGAGCGGAAGGTCGCGGGTTCGATCCCCGACCGCGTCATACCAAAAGACCTTAAAATATGGTACTTGTTGGACCCTGCCTGGCGCTCGGCATTAATAGGTACAACAAGGACTAGTCGGTTCGGAGTCAGTATAATTTGTCTGAGTGGGGTATTCATGCTTCACTGCGGCATGGTATCTCAGTGGGCTAGCACTATAAAACCAGCTTAAGTCTGGGCTAGTACAAGCAGCCACACATACACATACACACGCATGCACGTCGTCATATGAGTGAAATATTCTCAAGCACGACGATAAACCCAATTTCACCTCACCTCACCTCATGTCACAGTGTTCCAGCAGGTCAAGTCTATGATGTCCACACTTCATGTTTATAAACACGACTGATCATACTCTTTACAAGAGATTTACAAGAGTTTTACAAGAGATTTACAAGAGATTTACAAGAGTTTCATTAGAGTCCTGCTCAGAAGTCGCTTGGTTAGGTTTACAGTACTCAAGTGTGAGTGAGTTTCGTTTCACGGCGCAGAATTCCAGCAATATCACGGAGACACCAGAAATGGGCTCCAAACAATGTACCCATATGGGGGAATGAAACCCGAGTCTTCAGTGTTACGAGCAAGCGCTATAACCACTAGGCTACCCCGCCGTCCCTACATTATTTAAGGCATCAGTGAGACATTCAGAAATTAAGATGCTTAACATGTTGATGACATTTCCATGTTTGACTCATCAGTGACCATACTTATGCTCGATGTAGTTCCCTATTTTGGCTTGAACAATATGTTCATGCGTTTAACATTTGACGTTCCCTTGCATGTGTTTGTGACGAGTGCTAGGGCTGAAAGAAGACACCCTCACCTTATCGCGATCCCCTGTTTCATATACACATGCCTCTGCCCAAGCCAGGATCGTACAACTAGATATCGGTGGCGATGGGATTGCTTTTCTCGCATATATTTCCAGAAGGATTATATCAACACGACTTAATAAAGTTACAAATAGGATATTTTCACTTTCATCATCGAGTGTTAATATCAGAAGACACGAGGATGAGATTCTATTTATCATCAAAAATCACTCGTCATTAGTTTTCAATGAAAAATGTACATCTCTGAACACGGTACTGCCATTAGACTTGCAGTGCAGCGAAGTCATAGCATTGTGACGTCATCAAGTTCATGACGTCATAGCATTGTCAGGGCATTGTGAAAAATCTGTCAAAACGATATCTCATAGGATATATCGTTTGTTATTACTCGTCCGTGGAAGATACTGCAGTGTAATATTTTTACGGCAATATTACCCTATAGTAATACCGCAAGACATATGACGTCATAATGGTGTACAGTTATGACGACACAATGCTAATACCTCTGTCACAATGGTATTAGACCTTGCTTGACTCGTGGAAAGCTGAGAATCACACATCACACTGTAGGCAGTTTCTATCAGTTTATGTTGGCGAGTAATAAACAGAATACTAAACTCACTTCCGAGAAATACCATTTTTATTAAACTCGTGAAAGATTTAGCATCAAACTCGCTTTCGCTCGTTTGATACCAAATCATTAACTCCTTCAATAAAAATGGTATTACACGCAAGGTCGTTTAGTATCCTCTATATATCACAAAAGCAATATCTCCTGTGGAACACAGTTTGGGAAGATAAACGTGTATAAAACACATCTAAACAAATGTAGAAATTCTGCCGATTTCTTTTTCAGAATTCTCCTATCACATGATTCTGACCTTTCTGACCAGGAGGTGGTGTGGTCACAAGCTAGGGGTCAGTCCATGGATTGACGTCCCCTGACCACATTCCTCTCTTGCCCACAGCAAAGTTCCTCACAGACGTGACAGGGTACAACTTCCAAATATTCAGTTTGAAGTCCTTCGTCAACAGCAGATTCTTAAAAATCAGATATATATCTGTCTCTCGCGCTCTGTTCTTGGTGTATGTCAACTCCAAAAACTTTGAAAAATCGTTATTTTTCCGTTCCAGCAGCTGGTATTGACTGATAAGAAAGGTAAGATACTTTCTGGATGTCAACCTCTTTATGACAACATCGTTTCGGTAAAGGTCTTGCTTGACAACGGTATAAGATGCTATACCGAGACGTCGCATCATAATAAGATGAGAAAGCCACAATAACTCGGTGCGCCTAGTGGCTGCAAGAGTTGTATTCTCCCCAGGGAGTTGAGCGAACGCTTTAACCACTAGGTTACCCCCACCGCCCCAGTAGTATTTAGTCATTATTATACCTTTGTGTATTTACCTGAACGTCATAAATTAGGGCGTAGGAACAAGGGGGGGGGCTTGGGGTGTTTAGCCCCTACTTGTTTCAAGACGAAACCATATCTGCCTTACCATAACTACAATTTCATTTTGATTTTCAATAATTTTCATAAATTAGCACACACACCAACACACCCACACACCCCCGCTTTGAAAACCGTTCCTACCCCCTGTATGTGACAAATAATCTCCGACTCAATTAACACTTACAATCAATCATTGCTTTGCTATGAGAAATAGAGATTTGACGTTACGCCTTATTTGTAATTACCGGAAGAAGACGATTTAAATCATGTACCGATTGGTGTTAGGCAGTTTAAGGTACCAATCCTTCTTCGTATTTTTCCCTTCTCCATTCCAGTTTTTACATGTAACCCCAGTGCCAGGGGACGTCAGCACAATATAGGTTTAGCTCCAGCTCTCTAATGCATATAACAAATTTGTTTAACGTACGTTTGCTCAAGTAGGGTAAAAACGTAGCGTTATTTCAATACCTTATCCACGACTATGCGCTCACGTCAACACAAACACAACAGAGCCCCGTAACAGGGGTCTGCAATGTCAACCACAACGAGAATCTCGGCTATTTCGACCACTCAGCATTTTAACAAGTGTAGGGATTTACAAAGAAGGGATTATTTTCGAAGTTGCTAAAATAAGTTCTCCGACGTCCGCTATCGGCACGCTGTGCGGAAGACGTGCGAGGGAGGAAGAACCCGGATTTAGCAGTAGGCTTCGCTGTGATACGACGCAGTGTGCCGAGCAACAGGAAAGGCATCGCGGAGTGTTCGGCCAGGTTCGTCATTCGGGCTACCTCGCTCACTTACACCGGATTGTATCTCGTCGTCTCCATTCTTCAAGCATCATGGAACACTCGACAGTGGGATTTACTATAATAATGTGTTTTCTATTTCAAGGTGGGCAAAAAATCTATTTTTTCTTCTCCTTTTTCTTATTTTGTTAAACCATTAAAAATCATTAATTTTACGTGGTGTGTGATAGCTTTCATAGCAGGTTGTTATCAGAGGCCTTGCATACTACACCTACCTCTATGATGAAGTGATTCAAACTGGCATTTGCCCTGACAGAAAATAAGAAAGTTTTTGTTTCTAAATTGTATACTCGATATACAATCACACCAAAAGAACTGATTCTAAATAACGATTTACTGTTATAGCAAGTTTTTAGTGGTTGAGCAGGTAAGAGTCTCAAAAATATGTCAATGATAAGCAAATTGTAAAATAATTCTTCATAAAGAGTAAAAGAGCTCATTTAAATTTATCATGACGACCTTAGATATACCTCATTCATTCTCATCGAATCTATGGTATAACGAAATATGAATTAATGTACTGAGAGTCTTTAGGAATATAGTTCCTCGAAGTTATACAGTTATCTCGAAACATCAAAGAGAGTCTCAGGATAAGCCCCATATGAGATAAGAGGAAGAAGGATCTAGGTAGCCCGTGAGGACGTAGGTCTTTCTGTATGGGATTACCGTTGTGATATGACACCGTCGGCGATGTCGTAAGTCACCTAATCTGCATGGATTAATTATTTGCTTTTGTCCTTTTAAGGTTTGAGACCTGTGCAGTGACATTATGTGGATATTAATTTTTTGGTTTATTTTGGCAGCTCGCGAAGGTAACATATTTTTGTTACGACTGTTGGCTCAGGTTTGTTTGTTATCTGTGGGATATTGTTAAGAACGGATTGTCCTTGAGTGTTTATTCCTTGAAGAAGGATCACATATTTTCATAAGACGATTATTATGGCCATAGTTTAGACCATAACTGAAAGGCGTTTGTAAAGAAAAGTTCCTTTCTAAAGATGTGATTCTGGTGTGAGATGGATTTGAGAAGGGAAATACAATGTATGATGATTAACTGTCTTCTTCTATCTAACAAATTGTGAAAATAGTGAAATATTGTATTTTTGTTTGAAGTAAAGGGAAACATAAAGGGCGGCTAATCGGGAATTGAGTCAATTGACACAATACTTTACATATTCTGAAAAACAGAACTAACATTATTCAGAATCTAAGTGACAGTTGGTACCATAATTTTTTGAAGTCATGACGTTATTATCTGTAATATCATCCCGCGGAATCCGAGTGAGAATTTGCCCTCAGCAAGCTACATGTATGTTTGACGTAAGAGGCGACCATTGAATCCGGTGGCCAGGTTGTATAACGTGGTTGGTTCATGTCCTCGTATCCCAGCGACATGGACCCTTGTTCATAATATCACTCACTGGATTGTCCTGTCCAAACTCGAATGCTAACAGACCACACTCACAATAATTGGGATACTGTTAGTTCCACCATGACTTCAGTAAATACTGGATTGTGATTGGTTAAATAAAGTCATTTTCCATTTTCCAAAGATTTTCCAGCACAGTATGTATTTTTTTTAAATAATAATAGCGCGGTTATGGTAGAATGGAGATAACCATACTGTGTTGTAAAATCAGAGGTATTTAACGGAATTATAATAGCTTTACTTTATTATTTAAAACCTCAAGCCTCGCGTTCGGTTTTATATCAAATTTAGAGCTATTTTAAGTTTGTTATATACCTCTGATTTTTCGATACAGTATTTTTATCTCCTAAGTGTGTCACAGAACAACAAACGAACGAAAACCATCTGACATAACCATTAATCGTCCTTTGTTGACCGAGAATAGCTGCAAAATTGCTTACAATATTCCTTTTGTTGCTGTCACGGCTTTCGTTTGAATAGGAAGCAAAAAACTCTATCATAGGTCACAGAGTGGGTGCGACAGGGACGTCGTTTACGTCCCTTTCTTTTCAGCATTTAACACCAAGACATTCATTTGTTGTGTGTATCTGTTATAATATGTTCAAGTGTACTGTTTCAATGGGCGTTCTTCATGATGTACTGACATAGTTACACGCAATGTATTGTTCCCGATACTTTTCTGACTACATATTATGAAGACCATCCTTCTCCGACACAGCTTTTGTACTTTCATCACACAATCCATTCCTGAGCGTTTCTCACAGTAGCTGTGTTGTTGCCAGAGCATTGCGTTATCTGTCTTCAAATTGATATGGCTTTGTTTTCGTTTTGTAATTAAGTTCACATTTGACGACTCACTGGAGTATGAATTTAATTAATTAAAAATTATATTATAGAAATGTAATGTATACTGCAGACGTCGACATTTGTATCTGGTAACCTGATTTTGTCATGTAGATATTTTTATGGAGCCACCGGGCGCGGCGTGCAGATTTGTGTAAAACACATGGCATATGAAGGTTGAAAAACTTTCAAATAGTCACTCGTTTCGAGGACACGTGAGCGAAGAGTTAATTAACCTAGCCACTTATGGAGCTTTTAGCGACATTTTAATCGTCTGAACTGTCTTCGCGGGCGACAGTTAACACAGACCAAACAACATCAGCAACGGGAACCTCAGTTTCATTATTTACCTCCATGCCAAACGTTTGCCTCCTGTTTTCAAATCGAGCAGGTCGCGCTTTCCTTAAACCGACTTAACGAGTTCACATAGTTTTCTGAACATGCAAAATAGTTTATCGACTTTTTTCACTCGCTTTGGTTTACAAAGAGACTCCGTAGTCAGAAAAGCCAAGTTACACAATCAGGGGGATTATTTGGTATTGAAAAATAATGACACGTTAAAATATTGATTAAAAGCCAAGGCAACTGTGGATTTAAGTTAAGAGGGAATGTTGACATCCATAAGATCAGCGTGGGAGGAACTCGGCTGTTGGTTTCAGTGCTGTGGCACAGCAAACAGCATCACTGCGCATGTCAATTACCACGTGCTTGTTGATGTCAAGCATTCGTGAAGCTTTACGAACAGATAGATGCTGTCCATGTTAAAGTAACGGCACGATTGTATTGATGGGCCCGGTGATGTGTTCCCAATCAATATGATACAGATGAGTAAGGCATGTTTATATTCTTCAAGGAAATGTAGATTTGGTGTCGTTGCAATTGTTATTTATTCTCTTTAAAGGGACTGAGTGAGTTTAGTTTTACGCTGCTTGAAGCAATATTCCAGCAATATCACGGCAGGGAACATCAGAAATGGGCTTCACACATTCTACCCATGTAGGGAATCGAACCCGGGTGTGTAGTCAGTACAACAGTCTCTAGTTTGACACTGTCTTTGTGGAGTGAGTACAACAGTCTATAGTTTGACACTGTCTTTGTGGAGTGAGTACAACAGTCTATAGTTTGACACTGTCTTTGTGAGTGAGTACAACAGTCTCTAGTCTCATCCTGCCTTTGTGAGTGAGTACAACAGTATCTAGTTTGACATTGTCTTTGTGGAGTGAGTACAACAGTCTATAGTTTGACACTGCCTTTGTGAGTGAGTACAACAGTCTCTAGTCTCATCCTGCCTTTGTGAGTGAGTACAACACACTCTAATTTGACACTGTCTTTGTGAGTGAGTACAACACTCTCTAAATATGCATTCCAATAAACGGTTAACTCAATTAAACGGACGACTGAGATGATACCATAGTCGACTCCCTCGACTACATGCTTCCTGGCACGTGTTACTGGTGCATCTGCCTGCACGTCTTACAGGGCGTCTTCATTCACGTCTTCCTGCATTTCTTCCTGTACGTATTTCTATGGAATCCTGGAAGGGACATTGTCGCGTTGTCGCCCTCTCAAATACAAGCAAAATGAGGCAAATTAACCAAAACGCGACACGCGACAACGCGACAGTTTGCCCATTTGTCGCATTGTAGCGATGTCGCGTGTCGCGCTTTGAATAATATTTTTTTTTATTCCTCCAAAGGGCGACACGCGACATAGCGACAATTTTCAAGGTCAAAACATGTCGCGTTTCGCCCTATCTAAGATGTGTAAAAACAGCCTAAAAATTTACTAAAACGCGACATCGCGACAATGCGACAAATGGGCGAAAAGTCGCGTTGTCGCGATGTCGCGTGTCGCGTTTTGGTTTATTTTGCCTCATTTTACTTGTTTTTTAGAGCGACAATGTCCCTTCTCGGATTCCATATATTTCTCTATGTCGTACATGGCGTATGTTTCCTGAGTGAGATATGTGACCGTCAAATCATCCTGTTATTCCAATATGGCTATTAATCAGTGTTATGCCTATACCAACTGTCTATGGAGAGATAGCCTAGTGGCTGAAGCGTTGGTTCGAAAACCTGGGTTCTTTGCCCAACTTGTGTGAAGATAAAGTTTGGTGCCTCCTGTAGAGGAGAAAGGGAATTATGCTAGGAGCGGCGTAAAACTCCACTCCCTCATCTTCCTAAGATTATAACTATACTGCGGCCGTGTGTTTAATCACCCGTGGAAAAGGTGAAGTAAAATGGGGTTAACGTCGTACTAAAGAATGATTCGCTCATATGACGACGTGCATGCGTGCGCATGTGTGGCTGCTTGTACCAGCCCAGACTTAAGCTGGTTTTATAGTGCTAGCCCACTGAGATACCATGCCGCAGTGAAGCATGAATACCCCACTCAGACACATTATACTGACTCCGAGCCGACCAGTCCTTGTTGTACCCATTAATGCCGAGCGCCAGGCAGGGACCAACAAGTACGGTAACCATATTTTAACGTCTTTTGGTATGAAGCGTCCGGGGATAGAACCCGCGACCTTCCGTTCTCCGGGCGGACGCTCTCACCACAACACCACAGAGGCAGTTCCACGGAAAAGGAGCGCGCAGGCGACAGAAGCTTAAGTGTTTTCTGAAATATAAGATTAGAAAAAAAACCACATCACATCACGGCTGCAGAACGATATGATAATATCACTGCATGGGATATGAAGAAACAATGTTCTGTGAACGTGCTTTGGGATACAGGCAACTGACTGACGGAACTGTTGGGGTCGTTTCGGGATGGTCCCGACACAGATTTCGGAGAGACGCGACTGTGACGAAGCCGTCACGAGGCAGCCCATTTCGTCCAACACTCCCAATATAACTGTGTGTAAACAACACTTATTCGTGAATGAGCATATGTACAATGTCGGGACGGATGCGCCTGCTCTGTGTCACGTGACTCGCGACAGCGCCACCTACCGTTGTACTACTGTTTGTTTGACAAGAAGCTGTCGGTAGAGACATCTACATTCTCTGACCAACAAGTAAACATTTGTTTACATCTGTTTATTCACCTCGGGTTTTAGAATGGAAATAAGATGATTGTTTGTATTCGAATTATTTTCACGGTTTAAATGTAAATGTAACTTCTGATATACATATATTACTACTATGGTCTTAGATTTCATTCACTAAAACCAACACTGAATATGATTTGTGATCCAATCTAACAATTTCATGCAGACATAATCCACTATTTAATACTGATAATATACAACTGTTCATTGAAGCAACCAATGCTGTAGTGAGTGAGTTTAGTTTTACGCCGCTTTTAGCAATATTCCAGCAATATCACGGCGGGGACACCAGAAATGGGCTTCCGCATTGTACCCATGTGGGGAATCGAACTCGGGTCTTTGGCGTGACGAGCGAACGCTTTAACCACTAGGCTACCCCACCGCCCCTCCTATGATGCAGATCACTGGATTATCTGGTTCAGACGCCGCCATATAGATGGAATATTGCTGAGTGCGCTGTTAAACAACAAACAAACAAACAAACAAGCAAACAAACAAACAAACTTATCTTTCACAGAAACTTACGGCACATGAGAGCAGATATTTCAATACTTATGTCTTAATGCTTAATGATTTTTCTATCCTCTCTTGGCAATGCATTTCTGTTTTATATAGTCATACCTGCCCTCTTTGTGACCAGCGTAACCAAGGTTGTATGGCCATATCTTCATACACAAGTTTTCGAGCGTCCGTCCGGAGTGCGGAAGGTCGCGCGTTCGAAACCAGGCCGCGTCATACCAAAAGACGTTAAAATATGGTACTTGTTGGTCCCTGTCTGGTGCTCGGCATTAATGGGTACAACAAGGACTGGTCGGCTCAGAGTCATTATAATGTGTCTGAGTGGGGTATTCATGCTTCACTGCGGCATGGTATCTCAGTGAGCAATCACTATAAAACCAGCTAAGTCTGGGCTAGTACAAGCAGCCACACATACACATACATACGCATGCACGTCGTCATATGAGCGTAATAATCTTAAGCACAACGTTGAACCCCATTTCACCTCACCTCACCTCACCTCACCTCACCTCACCTCACCTCACCTCTCACTCTCCTCACACACAAGTTAATAGTCCCAGAATATGTCTCTCTCTCACACAAGTCCTCGAATATGTCTCTCTCTCTCTCTCCCTCTGTGTTAATCATATTTGTTTCATCGTCTCTCTCTCTTCTCTCTCTCTCTCTCTCTCTCTCTCTCTCTCTCTCTCTCTCTCTCTCTCTCTCTCTCTCTCTCTCTCTCTCTCTCTCTCTCTCTCTCTCTCTCTCACACACACACACAAATGGGCGCTGGAGGGTGAGTTTCTCAAAGATAGCATTGGTTTTTGGGCAGCATATAATGTGTCCGAGTGGGATGTTTAAGGTAAACTCTCCCCCTCTCCCACCTGGTGATGTACAGCCACGATGTGGAGAGTTCAAAGGAGTATTAGGGTTTCACCAGACAGCATATAATACCACTGTTGATACTGCCCAGTACATACAGAACACTGATGGCTAAGACAAACACACTCATTACCTTCTAATCCCAACGTAGAAAACGACAATTAGTTTACTTTGCATAGAGAATCCTACTCTGTTTGCTGTCGGTGCAAGTATGACCCCACCCTGGCTGGTCCTACGTACATACGGGTGACCTACATTACGTTTTACCGTGGCGTCGTTTACTGCTCTAACTCCCCCGCTCTCGACCGGCACTGACAGACATCTGTATTGAGCAACTTTTGAGTACATGACTATCATTTGACATAACACAACACAACACAATACAACACAACTCATTAACGTTATCCTAGCTTACACATGATGGTCGTGGGGCGATGGGGTAGCTTAATGGTTAAAGCGTTCGCTCGTCACGTCGAAGACCCGGGTTCGATTCCCCCATATAGGTACAATGTGTGAAGCCAATTTCTGGTGTCCACCCGCCGCGATATTGCTGGAATATTGCTAAAAGCGGCGTAAAACCGTACTCACTCATTCAACCAACGACTGGCTTAACTTACTCAGCGTCACTGGTAGGCGTTGGTCCATCTCAGCCATGTTCTGTTGGGGAAAGGCCTGGAGAAACAGCTGAGCATTGCAGTACAGGTGTGTTATAATAATACGTGGACAGGCAGTACGTGACTGCAACGTGACATCACGTTGCTGCATTTACTCAAAGCCCGGAGCTACATCTCGAACGACGTACACGTTGATAAATGTTATCTCATTAGTTAAATAGTGGTCGGAAAATTGAACTGAAATTATGTGCGCAGAGCAGAGATGATTTCATATTTCCCCGTCAACTTTTACAAAGATCCATCCTAAACTCACTTCATGAAAATTATTTATGCTACACTGAAATAACATGTAGGTCTATTGAAATTACTATCAAGTGTCCAAATATAACTGGCACGAGTCTGTAGTCCAGGAAGCGTTCGCCTTTCAGAAGATGAGTTCTGATGTCACCATTACCCTTCCATACAATGACGACGTTGGGAAACGCAAGCATGGTTAGCAGGTTCTCCTGGTATACCCTTGCATTACCGCCAGAGTTGTCAGATATATGGTGGACTTCTCCGAGAATGGTATACTGTCCTAATCCTGCAGCCTCAGATGTTCTCTGCACCACGTCAGACGTGCCTTAAGATGACGCGAAAGTAAAACTGAGCGCATCGCTGGACTCAGAGACTGGAGTGAGCGAGTGAGTGAGTTGTACGCCGCTTTTAGCAATATTCCAGCAATATGACGGCGGGGAAAATCAGGAACTGGAGGTTGTGCGCATTCTACCAGCCCAGGGGCAGATACAGCTTTGAGAGAATTAGGCCTAGGGTGCACAGGACACAATAAACTTTAAGGACATACCCCCCACCCCCACCCCGCATCCCCTCAGGAGCCGTCCATACAGCTCCAACGGTTCTGCCACTAACTGGACTTATACAAGGGTCCCTACTAACCGAATACCACTAATTCAATTCTACTGAACTATGAAACACATTGTTAATGGCAAAAAAACCCGTTAGCCATGTGGACAATCAGTTCAGACAACTAATGCCCATTTTGTAGTCGCATATGAAACGTGCACATATTCTCCGTAGCAGGTCCCAGATTGTTTAGCTGTTCGAAAGTTAAACACAGACAAATGTCACTACATGATGTTGATTTTGCATGTGCAGGTGTGACGTCACAGACGTGCAACACGACCCATGCGGAGGTGTGTGTGCGGGAGATGGAGGGGGTGCTGAACCAGGTGATTGAGACGGCGACTGGCGAGGGGGCTGCTGTCGGCACACTCGAGAAAATATGTCTGTGAGTAGAAAAACAAGTTTCCAACAAAATAATGACATTCTGTTCCTTCTTTCAAATGACTACTATTAGTGTCTTTACAAAATGGACACCGGAGAGGGAGTTGGGTTTTTTCGCCGATTTGGGGCAATATTCCAGCAATATCACAGCAGGGGACACCAGAAATTGGCTTCACACATTGTACCCATGTAGGGAATCGAACCCGGGCCTTCGGTGTGACGAGCGAACGCTTTAACCACTAGGCTACCCACCGCCCCGGGTGTTGGATAATCATAGTGGTTAGAGTGAGTCTGGTTCTACGCCGCTTTTAGCAATATTCCAGCAATATCACAGCGGAGGACACCAGAAATAGGCCTCACACATTGTACCCATGTGGGGAATCGAACGCTGGCCTTCGGCGTGACGTGCGAACGCTTTAACCACTAGGCCACCCCACCGCCCCTTAGTGGTCAGAACGTTGGTTCAAATCGGACATGGGTTCAACGTGTGAGGCCATTTTGTGTGTCCCCCGCCGTGATGTGGTTCACATATTTGTTATTGCTAAACGTGTCTCGAACCCAACTCATGTACAAGGTAAGAGTGTGCTAGTGAGGTGAACACCTTAGGACCACTCACCACAGTTGTACGCTTGGGGGATGACGAGATTGAGACTGTGACCGCGTATCTTATATGTATACAGTCGCTGTAGCTTTATTAAACCAGTCCAGGTTCCCACAAACATTTACACATCAGGGACCAATTATTTGATATAACGGGCCGGTGGGGTTATATTTTAAAAATACACATTGCCCATAAAAACTGAAATCAAAAACTGAATTTGACCTCAGGTTTTACGTACACAATAATTGTGCTCCGGATTTCCTGAAATGATTTCTTGTGAAACTGTGATAGTGCACCGGTACTTTTACAGCCACGTTTTCAGTGTTTTGCAAAAGGTTGTTTTTTTTTGCTGACTCCAGGAAAGAACTTTTATTGGCGACTTTATCGAACGATATGAGCTCTGTGAATACCGTTGTACAAAGCAACCTTAGCGCTACGCCAGTCGTAAGTCTATGCTATGGTATGGGAGTTACGATCACCTTAGCGCTAAGATCGCTTTGTACAACGGCACCCTGGTCGTGGAGGGGCGGCTGGGTAGCCTAGTGGTTTCGCTCGTCACGTCGAAGACCCGAGTGAGTTCGCTTGTCACGCCGAAGACCCCGGTTCGGTTCCCCATTTCTGGAGTCCCCCGCAGTGATATTGCTGGAATATTGCTAAAAGCGGCGTAAAACTATATTTACTCACTCACTCACTCATGTCGTGGATGGGAAGTAATGGGTGGTTTTCAACTTCCCTTTCATGTCGAGCAATATTCCAACAGCTCCAGCCTTTTTTACATTTCACATCTTTTGGGGTACCATCGACCGTGCTCTTGTGATCAGGATTTCGAGAGCGCCATTGCTTGATCAAGGTTACAACATTCAAGGCCTCAGTAAAGCTGTCTAGAATTTTTATGGTGGACATGTGGGAGAAATTTCCAAATTTGATGCAGCAGTGACAAAAATTATGTCCGATGCAATTCCCTATTGCTACTTATATCATTCGTTCCCGAATTATTTCAGGTGAACAGTTCACTAGGTTCAGGATAAGTTCATGACGGGTGCCACCGGTGTGGCAGGATACGCTCACCTTTTTGCGAACACCTGGTATCATCACTATAAACACATAAACACATGCTCTGTCATCGTATCGCATGGTGGCAATCACTGGAATGTCTAGTTCAAACCCGATTTGTTTACAAACAACATCATACAGCTGTAATACTGCTGAAACAAATATCTGCTCATTATATTGTCACAATTGTACAATCGACTCTGCTTTTGGCAGAGATCTCTTATGAATGTGGAAAAGGTATTGTCGCTTCTATCTACATCTCCAACATCGTTCCAGTCTGTTCTTCGTGCCTGTGTTATTTTTTACATGTATTATGTTAATGATCTCGTTGTTCAGTGACACCATCAAGGGCAACAACTTGACGCAGTGCTACATCGACGCCACCGCCGGTTGCAACACACAGGGTGATGAGGCGCCCACGTGGACCATGCAGAGATGGGAGCGAGTGATGCAGGACATCTACAAGCTGTGTGATGGGGGTGAGTGATCAGGGCAGGGCAGGGCAGGGCAGCCAGGATGAATATCTACAAGCTGGAGGATGGGGGTTTGATCAGGGCAGGGCAGGGCAGGGCAGGGCAGGGCAGGGGAAAAATGGAGGATATTTTACACCGCTTTAGCAATATTCCTGCAATTCTTCAGCAGGTGACACCAAAAATATGCTTCTCACATTGTACCCATGTATGTAATCGGGTCTTTGGCGTGACGAGTGAACGCTTTAACCACTAGGCAACCCACCGGCCCTTGTTTTGGGGTACTTCTATGTAGTGTCAGTTAAATTGAGGGGTATAAGAATAAGATGAGTCAAGTCGAATTCAGACGTTTCTGTGCATTCTGCCATTGGACCATTCGTCCGTGGATGAATGACATGTCTCAAATCCCCCATCACCCCCAAACTATCCCACCCCTCCTTCCCTGTGATCTTAGCTGATGTTCCTAACCAAAGCATTGCTGTATTGTTCCAGCCTGCCCGAGCTTCCTGGAGAGAACCATCAACATCACTCCAGTGCACCAGCCTCATCAGGTTCGACTCCCTCTACGAGTCGTCCTTCGGAAACTTCTGCAGGTGAGTGGGATCGGGGAGAAGATGGGTGAATGGACCAGATCGGTAAAACAAGTTGTTGACAGGGTCGGGGAGCGTAAACAGACCAAACCAGGCGCGTAGCAAGGCAATTTTGTCATGTAAGCCCGATAGGTTGCAAAGCTTTATATTTAGAAAGTATTGAGGACTTGCCCAACCTTTTTAGCACCAATCATGTGTAAGCCCGGGCTTTTTTTATAATGGTAGCTACGCCCCTGCAGACTGGTAGAACAATTTGTATACCCATTTTCAGTGTATGAAATAAGCCAAAAACCCAGCCAGGCATCAGGGCTGGTAACTTCAAAATGTTAACTCCCCCAAATGGATTAACCAGACCAGACAATCCAAAGAAAATAATTTTAGTTATAGAGAATAACTTTAATGAACCTGAGACACGTATTTACTGTCAAACGGTCTTTTCACTATAGGCATATTCAGAGAAATACGACTCCGCGCATCGATAGGTGTTGCTGTTTTTGTGATACTATATGTCAATGCAGTGCTTTGAGCTTTGAGATACGATAGTTCTATCTTCAAACAGTAATTGTCAAGTCGAAATGCAACGCTCAATTTGAAAAATAGATTTTAAGATATGGTGAATTTACTCAGATGTATGGAACATGTTATATATTTTTTTTTACCAGACCATCGGGCTGGCTAGCAGTAAATTTAAACCGTCCGTCAGAAATCTAGCCCTGGCGGTCAGACGGGCCCTATTTCATACACTGCCATTTCACGGGATCCAAGAGAGAGTGGTCGTTGAGCAGCCAACAACACCATCTGTACTCCCGGGCGGGCAGAGGGAGGTAGACTTGTCTGGGGGGGTGGCGGTAACACTAGGGTCGGGTGTCAGAGAACTGCGTCATGAGTTCCAAAGGCCGAAAACCCGTTTAGCAAGTAGACTCAAAGTTACGTTACCATCAGTAAAATATGTTAACACAAAGCAAAATGGAATGTGAATGCTTGTTCTCGATATTCAGTCATTGTGGATCTGGGTAATGTAAATGCCCCCAGCAATCTTGGTGGCTTTGAAAGGCGCAGTAAATTACGTTACAAGTAGTGAAATACGACGGGTCTACAAAACCTTATATCCGATTGTTACGTTTAATAAGAGCATAATTAACACAGTACGACATCTTTATCATTACATGCTGGTCAGTTGATGAAGGAAGTAGTTTAAAAGCTAATGAAGGTGGCTTACATAGATAATATTCAGCTATCTATATCGTCCGCCAATCTTTATAAAAAGGACATACAAGTAAAAAATGATTTTCATTTTCTCTTTCGTCTTTCAATATATAAACGTGTTCCTTTATTTACCAGTACCGTCTGTGTGACGTGGTTGATTGTCATCGTATCACAACCCCATGGATTGGTGCTCCTTATATCAATCACAGGATTGTCTATTCCAGACTCGAATATCTATGGTTGGAATATTGACAAGTGACACGTTCAACGATAGCACAATAAATGTCCTTTGAATGAGGTACAATGTCGGCTACAATGTCGGCTACAATGCCGGCAACAATGTCGGCTGCAATGTCGGCTACAATGCCGGCAACAATGTCGGCCTGCTCGGGTCAGACAGCCAACAACTCAGTTGTCCTTCCAGTGTTTGACCTTAACCCTGAAAAGCTGCAGGCCCTAAGGACCCAGAACCATAAAACGTTGTGGTTCCTGATCAGAATGTGTAGGCCCTATATTTGAATATGGAAATAATTCTATTAGTTATTGGGAATGAAAAAGCTGTCGGCCATAAGGACCTGCAGAAAACAAAAAGCTGTGGGTCCGAGTGGTTTTCAGTCGGCTTCGGGCCTAAGGACCGACGTTAATTTCGTACGCTGCTTCCTCCCACAGGTCCCTCAACGACAGCTTGGAGTGTGCCGCCCAGGTGACTGCTGACTGCCCCATGTTCGCCCGTCTCTTCTACGACCTTCTGCCCCAGGGAGTGGACCAGACCGCCAACACCATCTGTACAGCCGGTGAGTGGTGTCGTAGAGAGGGTGGATGGGTAGGGTGAGTGAGTGAGTTTAGGTTTACTCCGCTTTTAGCGTTATTCCAGCAATATCACGGCGGGGAACACCATAAATTGTCTTCACATTGTACCCATGTGGGGAATCGAACCGGGTTTTCGGCGTGACGAGCGAACTCTCTAACCACTAGGCTACCCCACGGCCCCTGGATGGGTAGAGTAGACCCTGGGTTGGTTTTCATGGTGGGGATAAAACTATTGCTTGTTATTAAGTGAACGATTATCAGAGGAATCGATGAGATGTTTAGTGTCGGTGTGTGGGTGCACTGCAAACGAGTTAATCTGAGCAATTCAATCTGAGTGAGTGAGTATAGTTTTACGCCGCTTTTAGCACTATTCCAGCAATATCATGGCGGGGGACACCAGAAATGGGCTTCACACATTTTACCCATGTAGGGAATCAATTCAATCTGAAGAAATGTTGATCAGCATAAGTAAACCTGGTGCTGACCAAGCTTCGAAGAGTCGGTGCATCATACACCGGTAGACCCGTGAAGATCCGGGGTAGAATAGGTCTTCAGCAACCCATTCTTGTCATAAAAGGCGACTATGCTTGTCGTACAAGGCGACTAACGGGATCGGGTGGTCAGGCTCGCTGACTTGGTTGACCCATGTCATCGGTTCCCAATTGCGCAGATCGATGCTCATGCTGTTGATCACTGGATTGTCTGGTCCAGACCCGATTATTTACAGACCGCCGCCACATCGCTGGAATATTGCTGAGTGCGGCGTAAAACTAAACTCACTCACTCACCACTCTTCATACACCGGTAACAGACTCAGTTGCATCTTTGTAATCCTTTAATGCAACATGAAATAAGTCCGCTAACATTCGACAAAAAGGCTATGGAGGTGTTGAGACATCTAGGCACGACGAGGCTATGATGTTGAGACATGCAAGGCACGCGTGATGGACCTGCCGGAGGACCTGGACGCCGCGTGCAAGTGAGTCATGTCAAATCAGGGCATCCAGTAAAGATCAAGTCTTATTTAGACAAAGAATGGATATCAGGTCCTCTCAGAGCATCCCCGGACAATTGTGTCCATTCAGAGCATCCCAGAAAAAGTGTGTCCATTTAGGGCATCCCACGAAAATTGTGTCCATTCAGAGCATCCCATGACAAGTTTGTCTAATCAGAGCATCCCATGACAATTGTGTCTAATCAGAGCATCCCATGAATATTGTGTCTAATCAGAGCATCCCAGAACAATTGTGTCCATTCAGGGCATCCCAGAACAATTGTGTCCATTCAGGGCATCCCAGAACAATTGTGTCCATTCAGGGCATCCCAGAACAATTGTGTCCATTCAGGGCATCCCAGAACAATTGTGTCCATTCAGATCATCCCAGAACAATTGTGTCCATTCAGATCATCCCAGATCAATTGTGTCCATTCAGGGCATCCCAGAATAATTGTGTCCATTCAGGGCATCCCATGACGATCATGTTCATGCAAGTCGTCCAAATCCAGTCATGATGACTCCAACGAGAAAGTTGTTTCAGGGCACCCCATGACAATCAAATCTAGTCAGGACATCCGTTGGCAATCAAGTTCACTCAGGGCACGTGGGCGCGCCTTTTCTGACTGCAGCATTATATTTAAGGCCACCCAGGCCATCTCAGGCCATCCCGTGACAATAAAGCCTAGAGAGTGAGTGAGTTTAGGTTTACGCCGCACTCAGCAATATCCCAGCTATATGGCGGCGGTCTGTAAATAATCGAGGCTGGACCAGACAATCCAGTGATCAACAGCATGAGCATCGATCTGCACAATCGGGAATCGATTACATGTGTCAACCAAGTCAGCGAGCCTGACCACCCGATCCCGATGAACTAAACTTACTGGAGATCATTGCCTTCACGCACAATCAAATCCCGGGTACCCATTTTACAGCTGGGTGAACTGAGACAATGTGGATCTAAGTATCTTGTCCAAGGATACTACGCAAATGTGCCAACCTCGGAACCCGAACCTAGGTGCCTACACCGGGGATCGAACCCGGGCCTTCTGCGTGATAGGCAGACGCCTTACCACTGCACTACTGCGCTCCACGTATATAAGTCCATTCAGAGAATCCCAAACGCCTGGGTATGATCCACAGCACTGCGAACGGCATGTTGGATAAGTGTTGACTTGATAGATATACGTTATACTCATCACCATAATCATTAATATTCCAGGTCGTATGTACAATTCAAGTCGTGTCTCCACACTTCGCGGGTGCCGGTGACGTGTCCGATGTTTGGGGCGCTGCTACAGGTGCTCTACCCTCAACACATCTTCGGCCTGTATGAACAGCAGTGCGGCACCGGCAACAACACATCGGAAGCAGAACCCGAAGGTACATCACATTCCTTATCATCATCAAATCACTATGGTAACATTGGTAACTCCGGAAGAGTGAGTGAGTGAGTGAGTGAGATTAGTTTTACGCCGCACTCAGCAATAGTCCAGCTAAACTCACTCACCCACCCAAAAAACATCAGTTTATTCCTTGGGCGACTGGACAACCTACGAGTGCCAACACTTCAGATATGACTTAGACATACACTGCCATTTCATGAGTGAGTGCGCCTAGTTTTACGCCGCACTCAACAATATTCCAGCTATATCGCGGCGGTTTGTAAATAATCGAGTCTGGGCCAGACAATCCAGCGATCAACATCATGGGCATCGATCTACACAAATGGGATACGATGGCATGTGTCAACCAAGTCAGTGAGCCTGACCACCCGATCCCGTTAGTCGCCTCTTACGACAAGCATTGGTTGCTGAAGACCAGTTCTAACCCGGATCTTCACGGGTCTGCATTATAAATAAAGATATTCTGGTATGCTGTACGTCCCTAACCCGGATGTCCGGAAGACTTGAAACCTACATATCTGAAGAATGGTAGGGTAGCCTAGAAGTTAAAGCGTTCGCTTGTCACGCCGGAGACCCGGGTTCGATTCACAACATGTGAATCATGTATGAAGCGTGCGTTCGTAGTGTCAAAGAACAGGGTTCAATTTCTACATGTGAATAATGTATGAAGCCCATTTTCTGGTGTCCCCCGTCCGTCGTGATATTGCTGGAATACTGCTGAAAGCGGCGTAAACCCATATTCACTCACTAACATTTCTGGCGTTGATCCAGTCTTAAAAAACATCATCAGGTCAGGTCTGAGTCTGTAACACTGCAATGTTAGAATGCCTCAACACAGAGCATACAGACGTTGGCCTGAAATGAATAACAGCTATCAAGAAATGTTTATTGGCTCTTGTACATTCCAGGAGACGAATGTGGTACACGGGGCCAAGCGAGAATTCAGCACTGCATCCGGGTACTTGCACTGTCATGGCCGATGACAGTCAGCCAACCGGAAATTACAGAACAGCAGTGCAGGTGAGAATGTAGTGCCGCAGCTTCAGCCATCAATCACCTCCCACTAACAAACATTGTCTTTTATGTGTTGGCGGTAAACGTGAAGAAACCCAACTAAACTGCCACTACATATATTATATTCAGTATTGAAGTGAAATGTATGTTTGTCATGTGATTCACGACAAATTAAACGGATAACTTCGAAATGGAAAAGCAACCAATTATCGAAAACGAAATACGTTCCTGGAGGGTACAGTTTTGAATGCATTTTTCCTCCTGCACTTCGGTAGCCCTATTTACAAAGAAAAAAGTGATTTCTCTATTTTGTCATAATATATTTTTGCGTTACTATATTTGAAGCTGATAGCAGTAGTCAAACATTGGTTGTAAAATTGGGTTTATTTAATATCTTAATTTCATGTACATTATTCTCAGGTGAGCATAAGCTGGATGTATTTGCTAATTCCATGGGATCACGTGTATATTACGCATGTGCCTGATTCGGTACCCCTGATTCACAGGGACTACGAAACCGGACTTCGTTGCCTTGACAACGCCGGATTCCATCGGTGCAGCGTCCTGCGGCAGTATTTCCACAACATGACGTCCAACCGACGTGATCACATGGACGTCCTTCAAGACGAGTGCGCCGACTTCCTCACCCAGCAGCGACAACTGGATGGGAGCGGTGCCTTCACCACGGCAGGTAGGCATCCACCCGTGTGTTACCACAAATACAATAGTCTGTCTCACAGTCCCTGAACCACACTATTTTAACTAATGCCACTCCTCCCTGCAATGCTTAAGCCCTGAATGAAGCAAGTCTAGATTTCTCCTGATCCTTTTCAATTAAATGGGTTTATTTGTTACTATCAAAATTATATATATATTTAGGGACTAAGCGTTAGTCTACAAACACAACAATATCGCTGTTTTGACGGCATCTTGACGTTTGGCGTACTGACGCTACTCTTCCCGGAAGTAGATACACGTTGACTAGCACATGCGCATCATGTTTTTGATAGCGGTCGCAAGGACAGATAACTCACGTTTGGAGAGAGGGCAATACTCTCTCTTTTTCTTAAATTTATACACTTTTTAAATAGAAACTGACTTTAATACGTCTCGAGTTAAATGAATTAACGTAAAACGCGGTGTGCATACTGTGTGACAGGTTTATGGAGGGTGCACACCTGGTTTTGTAAATGTGTATTCTACATAAACGCGCATGATTATTTAACTGAGTATTGTTTTACGCCGCGTTTAGAAATATTCCGGCGGAGGACAGAAATGGGCTTCAGACATTGTAACCATGTGGGAAATCGAACTCGGGGTTTTCTCCGTTACGAACGAACGCTTTATCCACAAGGCTACCTCACAGCCCTGGAGAATGATTCAAGTAGTTCTTGTAACTGAATACGTCAACAACAAGAAACAAACTCCTTTCTAATGATTAACATGAAAACGTAGAAAGTATGAAATCTGGGACATCGTTAAGCTTTAGAATGCTGCATACAACCGGTCAATCTATTATCAGCCAACCAAGAAACTAGGCCGTTTGTGCCTCGGGGTTTATGAAAAGAATAAAAAATGTATGTTTACATTTACAAAAAACACAAACACATTGAATCAAAGATTTCAGGGGCGGTGGGGTAGCCTAGTGGTTAAAGCTTTCGCTCTTCCCGCAGAAGACCCGGGTTCGATTCCCCTCATGGGTACAATGTATGAATCCTATTTCTGGTGTCTTGATATTGCTGGAATGTTGCTAAATATGTGGCGTAAAACTAAACACAATCAATCAATCAAAGACTTCAAGAATGTACTTCACGCTCCAGCTAAACAGGGGCGGTGAGGTAGCCTTGTGGTTAAAGTGTTGGCTCGTCACGCCGAAGACCCGAATTGATTCCCAACATTGGTGCAATGTGTGAATTCCTTTTCTGGTGTCCACCGACGCGATATTGCTGGAATATTGCTAAAAGCGGCGTAAAACCATACTCAATCGATGAATCCAGCTGAAAAGCAGGGCTAACAATAGTGTTCACCGATATTGGTTAAAGTGAAACAAGCAACAAATGCTATCCATGGGGATGTAAAGCCTGCCGAACAGTTATCGCCATATTTTGGCAGTTTTTACACAATTACTCCGCCGTTCTTCAAATTAATGAAACAAAACTAATTATGATACTTAATTAGCTATCCACCGATGGGTCCCGCCCGCTGACTGCCTCCGATCGTATTTATATATAAGTCGGCGGAAGGGAATCGTGTCAGTACAAATAGATGTTTTCTCACAACTATCTGTAACAGTTATCGCCATTTCAGATTTATTCATGTCATTCGTGAAATATATATTTATATCATGAAGTAACCTCGAATAATTGATTGTGTGATTAGATGAAAGTTGTTGTTTTTACAGTAGAATAATAGGGAATGAAACAATTGATATGACTTGAACTTGCTATTATATAGATAGTGTGACACATTCCCATACCCCACCCCCCAGTTCCACCCAGACTAAGTTAATAATATTTACCGGAATTGTTATTGACCGGAACTGCGAGCGCTTGATACTGATGTATTGACGATAGCTGCGATAACCGTTCGGCAGCCACTGTATTTGATGCGGGTATCTTAAGATAAGATAAGTTAAGATAAACTTTATTGTCCCGCAAGGGAAATTTGTCTTGAATTCAAAGAGCCAATACAAGCACATAACAACAAATAATTTAAAGTATATACGTGTATACACAATGCCAAGCTAGTCAGAATATTATGTTGAATTATAACATAATCAAAGTTCATGATATAATAATCACTCGTGCCTCATCATAGATTTCACTATTACAATTTTGGAGGAAGATTAGAAGTTTTCCTCCAAAATTGTAAAAGTGAAATCTATCAAATCTTAGCTGGGTTTTTCAGTGTTTCCACCCTTCTACTGTTTTGATCACTTTTGTAATTGTTGGTCAAACTTAAATTTCAATTATATACTTCTTTTGCTGGACCGTTTAGAATGTCCATTTGTCCGTGAAGGGTGGTCTTGGGACAAATGTTGTTACATTTGTACATTCCGAATAAAAACCTGTGTATTATTATTTCAGCGAACATCCTGCAGGTATTGAGTGTCGTGATAGTGTCCTGGGTGGCAAGTCTGCTCTGAAGGCCTCAAGAAACCCAGTCTACCGGAAGTGGCTCCAGTCTACCGGAAGTCCCTACCTGACCTGCGCTGTACATATGTGAATAGATGGCTGTACACATAGCTTCGTTAAAAGTATTTGTATATTTTATATAAACTATTGTATATATTTTTGCATAATTTATTGTATGCCCTTAGAAGTCACATTTTTTATAAATAAATGATACATTTCTATCATTGTTAAACTTCATTTCATCTGCCATTTTGACCAAGGTTCAGTTTTATGACGATGTCGTCCAAATGCGGAAGGAAGGTCACAGCGTGAAACTTATTGACAAAGTAATACTAGTGGGCGATAGCAACAGGCACCAACTATGCGGAAACAAAATCAGACTGGGTACAAATTGAAACCATGTTTCTAAATATTTGGAATGGTTATACAAGCACAGATCAGTGGGGTCTGTTCCACCCTGGGGTGAGTTAGTGAGTGAGTGTGTATGGTTTTACGCCAATTTTAGCACTAATCCAACAAAATAACGGCGGGGGACGCCAGAAATGGGCGAGTGAACGCTTTAACCAGTAGGCTACCCCACCGCCGAGCCACATTTCAATCTAGCTGTAACAGAGACATATAAATGTCCTGCATACGCAGTGTCGGAAGGTATTGCGGCATCATGAAACGCTGAGCACGGGACCGTCTAAAAATAGCACTGCATCTCAGTCACTACCATAAGTGTTCAGTCCGTTTTCTTTCGATTGAGCTAAAAACACAGCGTTGTATGCATTTAGTTTCTGGAACAAGGATGTTGATTTTGTAAAACTTTCTCTGACTGAACTCTAGGGGTGAAACTAAAGTACTGTCGGAAATAGAAAACAAAATGTTTTTTTTCACATTTATATCTACAATTTAGGTAGTTAATATGTGAAAGTGTGAAATATCTGCTAAACTAAGTTCGGCCTAACTACAGTCGCAGTGGGAGGGAGATAGGAAACGCGAAAGAAGGATTTTACTGAGGAGAGATTAGTGCAGAAATGAGCAATGCGCGTTTTTTGTAAGTCCAATGCGACTCATTCAGAACAGACCATGGCTTTATGCAAATTAGTGTGCGATGATATTGTATTACAAAGGACACTTTTTAAATGATCATTTTGAAATTAGACTTAGCTAGACGTATAAAATAATACTGAAACTATTAAGGATGTAGCTTCCATGGCGTTTCACTATCACTATAAAAAGAAACAGGTAGGAGGGGTCGTCTCAAAAGCAAAACCAGGACGGGTATCGCAGACGCTGGTTGGGGTCGGGCTGGGGAACTGAGATATTAGCTAAGATTAGATAATCAATAGAGACATGAAAAAAAACATAAAATATCTTTGAGATGACCCCCTTGTGCCTGTGGGCAGCACGTGCATTCCATGCCATGTGAGTCGACGGTCCGTCGTCATACCTGGCTGAGCGACCTAATTGCCATCTATAGTCTGATCTATTGTTTTCAGCAGCTATACGTATTTTTTCTAAGTTTTGCCCGATTTTACGAGTAAACATGCTTTTCTGGATATCCTATTACGCTTCCCCCTGAACGCCCAGTTAGGCCGATGTGGGTTATTTCGACATACGCTATTTGCAATTGTGCAAATTTTAGTAAGACAGAGCAACAGCCTAAAACAGTTTTTTTCCTATTTCCGACAGTACTTTAGCTTTCGATACAGGCTTGGGAACGCATCCGGGGAAGGTTATATTATCGAGAACATAATCTTTTGTGTCCCTAAACTTAGCATCCTTTTACATCTCAGGGCACCTGGTAGGATGTGTATATGTGATCGCCATTTTCAGACTTATAATCAAATCAGTATGTGTGACAGAGGACAAGAGATGACAAACATAGGCTCTCTCTTATTTAGAGTGAGTGAGTGAATTCGGTCGTCTAACAGGCACACCAGTGACCGAAAATATGAGCGCGAACCCAACACACAGAGGTTACCTAAAATAGACTTTACAATTTGTTTTGGTTTCCAGCTTTAACATAAATTGGTACAGACATATATCTACAAAAACACAGGGTTCAAATATACATTACTATATAAATAATGTAAAATGCACTTTCATTTTTTTTAAATCAGCTTCAGTTTTTGTACAGTAGTTTTCTAAAGTGGGGTGTTGAAATAATGTGAGAAACGCCTCGTGAGGTTAGTTCAAAGGAGTATATTTTAATTCTCTTTCGCGACCGAATTACTGACTTTACTTTCCAATGCTAAATGTCGACTGAGAAACCTAGTCATTGGAGAGGTGAGGTGAAAGCGGATATGACGTCGTGCATGCATGTGTATGTGTGGCTGCTTGTACTAGCCCAGACGTAAGCTGGTTTTATAGTGCTAGCTCACTGAGATACCATGCCGCAGTTTAGCACGAATACCCCACTCAGACACATTATACTGACTCCGAGCCGATAGTCCTTGTACCCATTAATGCCGAGCGCCAGACAGGGACCAACAAGTACCATATTATAACGTCTTTTGGTATGACGCGGCCGGGGATGGAACCTGGTCATTGGCAGTCATGAAACATAATCTTCACACGATATCAGTACAAGAAAAAATTATGGTTGACATAGGTCGACATTTACACTCACGGAAACGAATAAGGGAACACATGAAAGTACAAATCTTCCCTTATTTATTTGCAGAATTTCACCCACAGTAAAATATACATACCTTGTGAAGAAACCTGGAGAAGACAACTCGCGCAGTTCACAGTCAGTCGTTTCCGCTGATGTGTACTTTTTTTACTGCCAGAAAATACAATAATGAGATTCGCCTGAGAAATTCCAGCACAACTAGTCCTTGTTTTGTCTGCTCTTTAGCATGATGTATTAACACTCATGCTGGGGATCGAACCACAGAATTTCGTTCATCAAGCAGGTGCATTATCCACGGGACCAAGGAGATGGTTGCAAGCAGCTTTACAAGTAAAATTAAGATCACAAATCCCTTACAAAGGTTCCTTCAGTGAGTGAAAAGACGTTCAGAAACACAGGCTTCTTGTGTTACCATGTCCCAGAACACAACACGACACATCCATGTGTATAATTATGTTTAATGAAAAACGTAAAGAAAATAGAAAGAATTGGAAACCAACAATGATTTCCGCTTAGTGACTTAATATGCAAATGTGCCCAGGTTTGGCAGCTAAACGTACATATAAACAAGTTCTGTTTAAAACACAATGCTTACATTGATACAAGTATATATAGCTAGTCACATTTGGCAGAAAATGCCTTTATCTTACTTCTTTCAGATAATAGGCTTTGAAGCAGAGAAGTATTTGCAGGATAAACCCGTAAAAATGTTCTGGGTTCTGTTATGAGTACATATGCTTTTCTGAGGTTCTGTTTTTGTTCTGGCTCTAACTGTAAGCCGCGGTCACATCTTACGGTCATGAACGTTGTTGACCGTAACTCGTTCCAACGTAGTTCACCGTAGTACCACTACGGTGAACTAGACTGTAGTAGGGTGTAATAGAAGTAAACCGTAGTTTCATCGTAGAAGTAAACCGTAGTTTTATCGTAGTGCCACGTTACCACGGTGTACTGCGGGCAACAAACCGGTGCAGTAGCGAGAACGAGGGTCAACCACGTTCAAACTACGGTCTAGGCTATCAAGCTAACCGTAGAGATATATTGAACATGTTGAAAACATTTTGGTCTAACCGTGGCCACATCATGTGTTTGCTGAAGCTCAAAGCACGGTCATACCTACGATGATCTACGTTGAGATACGCGTAAGTACGTCTAACTACGTTGAACTGACTGAGTATAGTTGTACGCCGCTTTTTGCAATATTCCAGCAATATCACGGCAGGGGACACCAGAAGTGGGCTTGACACATTGCACCCATGTGGGGATTCGAACCCGGATCTTCGGCGCGACGAGCCAACGCTTTAACCACTATGCTACCCCACCGCCCACTACGTTTAACTAAGGTCAACTACGGTTCTACTACGGTCTACTACGCTCATCCCCGACTACGGTCAACTACGTACGTGCGTGTCCGTAAGATGTTACCACCGCTTATGTTGCGTTACAAATTACAATATTGCTCATTCCCAGTGCTCAACGAAAAGACTGCGCATATAAATTAAGTGCTTAGTTTCCACGAGTTAGTCGTAATTTAGGCTACGGAAGCTTTGTCTTGAGTAGAATTTATAGACGTCGATCAGTTGGAACGATTCTACTTGGCTCGATAACCATATAAAAAATTTACATTTCAAAGCTGATGTTTACTAAAACTGAATTTTTAATTATTATTTTTTAATGCTTGTCAAAACCTAAAATACGTATGTTCATAAATGCGGTTCAACATCGAGTATCAAGAGATAATGAGTGAGTGAGTATAACATTAGGCCGCTTTTAGCAATATTCCAGCTACAACCCGTAGAAAAGTGCTTCACACATAACACCAATATCTAGAATCGAACCAGGGCGTTCGGCGTGACGAGCGAACGCTTAAACCTCTAAACTATCAACAAGAGTGGGTAACATATGAAGAACCTATTACTGTTGAGTATATGTCTACATTTCCATCGAAAATTATGCACGTAAATTTAAAAACATAAAGAAACAGTTTGTCATGCATGCGAACACAAAGAACATACATTGTTCAGTTTGAAAATATCACAACCGCTGATGTATCACCACACTTGATCATATCTCTATCATTACATCCCTCCACTTTATCACGCATTTGTATTTTGTTCACTGTAAGATATCATATTCACCTGGAGTGAGTGAGTAAGTTTAGCGCTGCTCTAACGGTATTTAAGTCAGATCATGGAGTATCAGCTTTGCTCAGAACGAGAGTGCGAACTCAAGTGGGGACCACGGGTGGCCCAGTCGTCCAAGGCACGGCAATTAGCTGAGCAGAGTTACATCCCTTTGCAACGCCAGAAACCGATAATAGTGGTACGGTTCAACTGGATCGGGTTTGTTTGGGGGTTCTGTCACAACTAAAGCAGCAAACCTCTCAGATCAACGTTATTTCGGGCTTTTATCTTACATTAAGTTCACCCGCTGTGATATGACATGAATATTGTTGGAAGCATGTCAAAAACAAGATGGGGTTTGATTCACAGGTGGCCGTGTCGTCCATGTATCAGAATGAGTGAGTGAGTGAGTTTGGTTTTGCGCCGCTTTTAGAGTGAGTGACTGAGTGAGTTTTGGTTTTGCGCCACTTTTAGAAATATTACCGCAATATCACGGCGGGGGACACCAGAAATGGGCTTCACACATTGTACCTATGTGGGGAATCGAACCCGGTCTTTGGCGTGACGAGCCAACGCTTTGACCACTAGGCTACCCCATCGCGCCCAATCTTTCAGAAATGTCACCAAGGTTGATATGGATTCGAACCCGTATTCATAGGCGTTTAGGAACGTAACTCTTGAGACAGCCAACTCCGTAGCCTTAGATGACCGAGTCACCTGTATCCCTTGCTTAAAACAGACACAGTCAACTACGGTTATGACGAACTCAAAGGAACCACTATTATACTTCGAAATAACCGTAGTTCGTTTTCGATTCGTTTTACGCATTTGACTACAATATACAATAAAATATATAAATGGCCAAAGGAAATAGATCGTTAATTCTGCCAGTTCGTTAAAAGCGGGTTCGTTTTAAACGTAGTTTACTGTTGAAATATCATGGGAAAATGTCATGATCCCTCTGTCCGGCTTGATGAGATGGTTGGCGCTACTCGACTACACACGTCCAAATATCCTCTTGGCAACGACGTCCCCGACTTCGATTTTCTAAAATGGAAAAAGTATAATTTGCTCAATAAGGTGTCGAGATTATTAAAATGGCATCAAGCGGTTTACAAATGTCAAAATCATAACTGACCATTTTTAGCAAAACGAGACAGATAATAACGTACATGGAATGACACCTTGAACTGAGTTTGTATTGGGAGAGCTGGTTGATCGCCTGAGATGTGACGATTGAACACATTATCGTTGAGTGAGTGAGTGAGTGAGTGAGTGAGTGAGTGAAAATATTTTACGCCTCTTTTAGCAATATTCCAGCAATATCACGGCGGAGAACACCAGAAATGGGCTTCACACATTGTACCCATGTGGGGAATCGAACCCGGGTCTTCGGCGTGATGAGCGAACGCTTTAACCACTAGGCTACCCCACCTCCCCTTATCGTTGAGTGAACGCAGAGCGAGAGAGCGTGCTGCTGTCTTAGCGTTGATACACCAGCTCTCATCCATTCCGAACTAAATCTCGCTATAACTTTGTTTCACTTTGTAAAAATTGAGCCGTCACTTAAACGTCGGGTGAGTTGGGAGGTTTGTCGGGGTGGGGTGTTGTCGGTGAGTGCCTGGGGATGGCGCGGGAGTGGTGGGAGGTAGGGCAGGGAGGTATTTCGTTTGTGATCGTTTGTGGTCGTGTGCAGACCGGATGATTTTGGTAGTTAAGATTTTGTGTTTGTTTGTTGTTTAACGCCGCACTCAGCAATATTCCAGGTATATGACGAAGGTCTGTAAATAATCGAGTCAATCCAGCCAATCCAGCGATCAACATAAGCATCGATTTACGCAAATGTGAAAGTACGTCATGTGTCAACCCAGTCAGCTAGTCTCACCATCCGACCCCGTTAGTTGCCTGTCACGACAAGCATGGGTTGCTGAAGATCTATTCTAAAGGAGAAACGAAACCTACATTTTTACAGATAACATATTAGTCACACAGGCACATACACCCATTACACGCACGCACGCACACACACACACACGGGCGCGCGCACATGATTTCGACCCACTTGGAAATGCGGAGGTAATAAATCGCAATGTCATGTTTCTGTAAAACATAGTTGATTTTATGTCCGCTTCCCTTTCCACTATCGCGGATGATACAGTCAGACCTATATGTAAAGTGTATTTACCAAGACCATGTTGTCGTTATCGATATATCGTGTCTGTTTCTGGGGTTTGATCTTGGAGCCATCAATCGGTTCCATCGTCATAAGGATGTTGCCGTCTTCATACTTGGCGTGACACTGAAACAAAGCAGGGAGACTACAAAAGCTGGACTTGTCTGTCTCTGAACCAAATTATTTCCCCTCGATCAACACGTTTGTGTTGTGCAGTGAGTGAGTGAGTTTAGTTTTACGCCGCTTTTAGCAATATTTCAGCAATAACACGACGCGGGACACCAGAAATGAGCTTCATACATTGTACCCATGTGGGGAATCGAACCCTGGTATTCGGCGCGACGAGCCCAAACTCCAACCAGCCATTTTATTTGGGTTACTTGTTTCTATCAAAATATTCATGTTTAGACAAAGCGTCAGTATATCCCATTATCCCATTAAGACATTATGTCTTTCCCATCAGCTCAGCCCTGTTCTTGAGGGTAAAGCCCCAAATTAAGTCCAAATTTTTCAGCTTCTGCAATCCTAAGCTTCTGTATCTTCCATCTCACTGGAGCTCCTTATAAATCTAAATGGAGTTCTTTGTTTTTATCAAAATTATGTACATTCAGAGACTAGGCGTTAGTCTACTGCTGGGTATACAATCAACACTCGTGGCCATACAATCAACACTCCTTTTAGCCCAGCGGATAAGTGCACTTTTTTCAGTGAATTGTGCAATTCTTGTTACAAGCATGAAATTTGGCATGATTGTAGCTTATATCCTTATTATTAAATATAGATCGAGAGGCCTCGCAGATTTTTTATACTTTTCATTTTTTGGAGGGAAAAGTGAAACAAAATCATTTTTTTACTATTTTAGTCGCAATTTTAGACTGAATTCTTCCATTCTCATAAATCAAATATGAAATTGTAGAAAATTTACAGCTGATCATTTTTTATCCCATACATCTTTAACAGTTAGGTCTACTGAAGTAAATTTATATCATGACTGCACGAAAATGGGAAAATTGAAGCACATTTTTCAAAACGGCCGCCATATAGACAACATCAGTAAAATAACTATGAGATCATCCCATGATCTGACATTTTTCTATCAATTCTTTACAAATTCAAAACGAGGAGCCTCGCAGATTTTGGCCATTTTTCATTTTTGGGGAAAAAGTGGTGGGGGGGGGGAATAATTTTCCAAAATATAAAAAATTCCAAGATAAGAAATGTGCGAGGCCTCTCGATCTGCATTTAATAAGAAAGGTATAAGCTACAACCATGCCAAACTTCATGCTTGTAACACGAAGTGCACAAGTTACTTATCCGCTGGGCTATCTGGGATGGTAATGGCCTGTAGGTTGGCCGAGAGCACATAGCAGCCAAGAATATAGACACGTATACAAGATGCATTTATTAACCTCGACACTTTTCAAGAAAATACTTTGAACGGGCACCTTCATCTTTGTCTTCTGAATTTCTTTTTCGTAGTCAACGTTGAACTGGATGATGTCTTCTTGTGACCAGAAGGTCGTCGTCGTGTACACTCTCACTTTGTCGTCAATGATGCTGACCTCGCAGTCGGGTTTGCTGAAACCAGCCATCTTCCGCGCCGGGTAAGGAGCACCTGCCGAAAATCAGCACAAATAATGGTTGGTTGCTTGTTGTTTTACGCCGCACTCAGCTATATTCCATCTATATGGCGGAAGTCTGTATATAATCGAGTTTGGACCAGACAATCCAGTGATCAACAGCATGAGTACCGACCTACGTAATTGGGATACGATGACATGTGTCAACCAATTCAGCGAGCCTGTCCACCCGATCCCGTTATAGTCGCCTCTTAGACAAGCGTAGGTTGCTGAAGACCAACTCTAACCCGGATCTTCACGGGTGCAGTACAAAGAGTGGAGGGTAGGGAAGGATTTTTCGACAGCCAGTACACACAAAATGTCTGGGACACGTGTCAATAGACCACACGCACATAGTTAACGGGTATACAACAGCCCAATGGTTTCGAAGCAGGGGATATTTGGTTTTAAGGATGTAACTTACAACATAACCGTCTTATCCCCACACCTACATTGCAGCCGGAGGAAGGTGATGTGACATGGGGTTTAACGTCGTGCTAGAGAAAACTTCGCTCATATGACGACGTGCATGCGTATGTATGTGTATGTGCGGCTGCTTGTACTAGCCAAGACTGAAGCTGGTTTTATAGTGCTAGCCCACTAAGATACCATGCCGCAGTGAAGCATGAATACCCCACTCAGACACATGATACTGACTCCGAGCTAACCAGTCCTTGTTGTACCCATTAATGCCGGGCGCCAGGCAGGGACCAACAAGTACCATATTTTAACGTCTTTTGGTATGACGCGGTCGGAGGAAACAGTGAACATATATGAAACTATAGATTTTATAGATTGAGCCGATCACATAATATGTAGTAAGTTTAAAACACAAAATCCCATCAATGCATCTAAACTGACAGACAAATATATACCAAACACAAACGCAAAAGTAAAAATAGATTTAGTGCTTTTTATGTTTAGCTTTAATCATCAAGATGCTGCAGCAGGTGTCCTTGCAGACCTTCCTGTCTGTCATAATAGCTTAACCACGTAACCTCTAACGGGAGTGAACTTGAACTTACGGGAGTGAACTTGAACTTACGGGAGTGAATTTGAACTTACGGGAGTGAACTTGAACTTACGGGAATGAACTTGAACTTGAACTTTCGGGAGTGAACTTGAACTTACGGGAGTGAACTTGAACTTACGGGAGTGAACTTGAAATTACGGGAATGAACTTGAACTTGAACTTACGGGAGTGAACTTGAACTTACGGGAGTGAACTTGAACTTACGGGAGTGAACTTGAACTTACGGGAGTGAACTTGAACTTGAACTTACGGGAGTGAACTTGAACTTACGGGAGTGAACTTGAACTTGAACTTACGGGAGTGAACTTGAACTTACGGGAGTGAACTTGAACTTACGGGAGTGAACTTGAACTTACGGGAGTGAACTTGAACTTACGGGAGTGAACTTGAACTTGAACTTACGGGAGTGAACTTGAACTTGAACTTACGGGAGTGAACTTGAACTTACGGGAGTGAACTTGAACTTGAACTTACGGGAATGAACTTGAACTTGAACTTACGGGAGTGAACTTGAACTTACGGGAGTGAACTTGAACTTGAACTTACGGGAGTGAACTTGAACTTACGGGAGTGAACTTGAACTTACGGGAGTGAACTTGAACTTACGGGAATGAACTTGAACTTGAACTTACGGGAGTGAACTTGAACTTACGGGAGTGAACTTGAACTTGAACTTACGGGAGTGAACTTGAACTTACGGGAGTGAGCTTGAACTTGAACTTACGGGAGTGAACTTGAACTTGAACTTACGGGAGTGAACTTGAACTTGAACTTACGGGAGTGAACTTGAACTTACTTACGGGAGTGAACTTGAACTTGAACTTACGGGAGTGAACTTGAACTTACGGGAGTGAACTTGAACTTGAACTTACGGGAGTGAACTTGAACTTACTTACGGGAGTGAACTTGAACTTACGGGAACTTGAACTTGAACTTACGGGAGTGAACTTGAACTTACGGGAGTGAACTTGAACTTACTTACGGGAGTGAACTTGAACTTACAGGGAGTGAACTTGAACTTGAACTTACACTTAGGAACTGAACTTGAACTTACGGGAGTGAACTTGAACTTACGGGAGTGAACTTGAACTTGAACTTACGGGAGTGAACTTGAACTTACGGGAGTGAACTTGAACTTACTTACGGGAGTGAACTTGAACTTGAACTTACGGGAGTGAACTTGAACTTGAACTTACGGGAGTGAACTTGAACTTACGGGGAGTGAACTTGAACTTACGGGAGTGAACTTGAACTTACGGGACTTGAACTTGAACTTGAACTTACGGGAGTGAACTTGAACTTACGGGAGTGAACTTGAACTTGAACTTACGGGAGTGAACTTGAACTTACGGGAGTGAACTTGAACTTGAACTTACGGGAGTGAACTTGAACTTACGGGAGTGAACTTGAACTTACGGGAGTGAACTTGAACTTACGGGAATGAACTTGAACTTGAATTTTCGAGAGTGTTAGTAGCTATTATAATTGCAGAAACACTTGATAAACGCGGCATAAAAGCAGACCTGACTGTCAGCCATTTATTCTGGACATAGTCTATTGGTATCTAAGATGCCCACGTAACGTCTTCTTAAGGTGGATATTCTGAAGTTGTTCATTTGCCCCCCTTCCAATATAAACAGACTGCATGCTAGGGGCGACTGTGTTACAGATACCGTATTTTGTACACTGGGTTTAATTACTGTTATTGTTAGTGAGCTGCTTTACCCTCAGCGCTTATTGGAGGAAATACGGTATACTTAAAGATATGTCGTTATATACACGTCATCTCACATTTGCGATAACAATACGTACATCAGATAAGGGGTTTTATCTTTAAACATTACATCATTCACTCACTGACAACGTCAAATACCGTTAACAGGTTCAATTGTTGGTACGCGCTGATTGATGTCGCTATATGCCGACATGCGGCAGTAAAACATGTTAAATACACCTTCCAACACCGCTGTGGCGAAGTTGAAGTGACCAACGTGAATACTTCGAGTCATCCGAGGTTCGACACAGAAGCAATTTGTTGATCATGGATACGGTTTTTAATTCGACACAACCGCCGGTGTCTAGTTATTAGCGAGACGGTGTACCGTCAATAATTACAAGTACAACCCTGACAAAACACGGATACATAACTAAACCTCGAAATGTCATGTCGAAAATTACGAAAATGTCCTCCAATGAGTATAGCACTAGTTACCTGGATATGTGCGCTATATAAATATCATATAATAATAATAATATCACAATAGAGATGGGCGGTGGGTATCCTTGTGGTTAAAGCGTTGGCTCGTCACGCCGAAGACCCGGGTTCGACATGGGTACAATTAGTCTGTCTCACAGTCCCTGAACCACATTATTTTCCCTACTGCCAAGCCCTCCCTGCAGTGCTAAAGCCCTAAATAAAGCAAGTGTAGATTTCCCCAGGTTCTGAATCTCTGATCTCCCTAGGGCTCCTTTTCAATATAAATGGGCTTTTTGTTACTATCACAAATTATATATATTCAGAGACTAAGCCTTAGTCTAGGGTACAATGTGTGAAGCCCATTTCTGGTGTTCCCCGCAGTGATATTGCTGGAATATTGCTAAACGAGTTGTAAACCAAACTCACTCACAATAGAACTAATATATGATACGTGGGACAATCCAGTAGAGTGTCGGGTAATGGCGTCTCTGTCACAGCTGTTGGTGCGATAAGCCACGTTAATGTTTCAGCATAATCAAAGCCCGGATATCGATACCAGCCATCAACATATAAAACCCCAGCTAAATCATCACGCAGGAGCGATACGTGCAGATGGCATGCTGGGCTCAGACTTTAATTACAGGTCGCCGTGACCCATCAAGAATACTGCTGACTACGGCAATAAAACAGTCCAACACTACAGTCGGCACGTTTCACGTGAAGCTATTATCAACTACCGTGCACAAGCACACACACTCAGGCCGTCAGCATTTACCTCAAGTACACTCACACAATCCATAAGTGATCGAGTGAGTATGGTTTTACACCGTTTATAGCAATATTCAAGCAACATCACGGCGGGGGGCACCAGAAATGGGCTTTACACATTGTACCCATGTGGGGAATCGAACCCGGGTCTTCCACTTCGAACGCTTTAACCACTTATAGACTGCCCCACCGCCCCATTATTGAATCAATTGGTGACTGGTTATAATGTTTGTCACTGAAACCGGACGGCGAATGTTTGTGTTCATGCTATCGACCTCTAGTTTTCCAGACACGATTATTTACAGATCGTCGTGGTGTAACTGAATATTGAGTAGCACGGCGTAAAATACACACTCATTTCGATCTGGGCAGGCGCACGACCTTCAGAACTGGGGTCAGTGTGCCCTCGAGCTGTTAATCGTGCAGGGATACCTTCCTGCCTCGTGATGAACATGTCAGGTACATGACCTCAGAGATACGAAAGCTCGCAGATTACGATCAAATTTAGTCTCAAAATAAGCACAGGTTTAGCACTTAATAAACGGTATAAGTTAAAGAGAAATTGGGTTTTTACATATGTTTACAACCGGTACATACAGCTGTGTGTTGATGTGTTGACCTTTTGACCCTTCACGTGGTCGTCGTTAACTCACTGATACGTAAAGTGGGGGTGTAAACGCTTGTGTAACCTTCAGGTGATATTTCTTTCAAATGATCAATGGGAATCGTTTGCCAAAAGCCTTCAAACTCTACCACCTCGTTATAGCGCGAAATGATGTTTCGTCGTACTCTAATGAAACCAAAACGTTAAATTGGTGCTTGTGATAGTGAGAGGAGGTACTGACGACTCAAATTAGTTCTACGGTCATTAAACACACATCACAGCTCTGTAGAATATATAAACAAGCTTGGAAGAACATATAAACAACACGTTTGGCCCAGTAAGGGTTAAATGAAAGCCGATTCATTCTTATGCAAGTTGATATTTACCCATCTCTTTCAGGAAATCTTCAAAGTTTTCACTGCCAACCAGTCGCCATTTTCCAACAAATTTTGTCCGGATTTCCCGGAGATTATCCGATTCCGACGGAGACTCCGCCATACCGTCCAGAGGTGAGATCGCGATATGGATGCTGTTCTCGCCTAACTCGTCGCTATACCGTCCACAGGTCGTTCTCGAGCCACTGTCACTTCCGACACGTAGTACTGCAAGCTCACACCAGTTACCTACCTTTGTTTGATATGTGTAACGTGTGTTTATCAGTGCTTTGCGACTGGATCATTCATGCTTGGCGTGTCAAATCACGGGACATAGCCTGGCTGGCGTTTGGCTTTTTGCGACTGGGGTGAGATGGTTGGCTATTGCAGGGGCGGGTACAGCTTTTTTGAAGAATGAGGGGTGCGCATGCTGTTCAGAAAGGGGTCCACAGTAAATTTTCACCCATTTTCTCGAGAGTTTCAATGGTCATTTGATAAACTTTCAGGACAAAAGTGGGGTGGGGGTGCGCATCCCTGCAACCACCCCCCACCTCTCTCTCTCTCTCTCTCTCTCTCTCTCTCTCTCTCTCTCTCTCTCTCTCTCTCTCTCTCTCTCTCTCTCTCTCTCTCTCTCTCTCTCTCTCTCTCTCTCTCTCAATCCATTTTCATTTGATAGCCAGCTCTGATACCGCAGTGAGTGGGCCAGCTAGCAGCTAGGTCTCTGGGTGGCGGATAATGACCCTTATACAAACTGTTCAAGTACAATTCAACGCTATGCTCATAATGGAGTTGAGTTGGGTTTTGCGTCACATCGGCATTATTCTAGCCATATAGTGACGAGAACAAGTTTGCATTAATAAACATACACACTCGGAATGAGTTTTATTTCAAAACGTATATTCATTACATTGTCATTTAAAAGCAGAAAAAGTCATAGCATCAAATTTAAAGGCAGGAAATTTGTTAGTCACATTACACAGTTACAATTTATGGTACAGATCAACTTCCCTCAGGTAGTTCACTATCAGATGAGCGCTCACGCGGGAGAACAGATCTTTTAGGTTTGTTGCATCATAATGTGAGTCCCTTGCAGACGATAAGTCCACGCATTCAATCAGAATATGCTTGACCTTATAGTAACCTTGTTAGGGTTTATATTTGGTCTAGGATAATTATAATACCTAGAATTTGTTGTCGGGGAATTAGCTTGGGACCGCAACACCTTTAAATAACCAAGAGAAGCATCGATTAGTGGCCAGTCTTTATTCGGTCATTTCATGAGGAGTCAAATTATAAAAAACATCAGCATTATTTCAAACTTGGACAATTAATACCTAATATGAAAATCATGTGAATTAATAATTACATAAACCTTACTGACAATATACCTTACAATAAACAATTGCCAAGATTACACGGAAGTGAGGACACTTCATATTATATTGGAAACATAATACACGAGATGTAGCGCAGCTGAGAAATATGCGTAGAGAATGATGAGGTAACTGTTCAGTAAGACACGTAGTACATGTGCTATCAATTGCTAAAATAATCTTCTATGGAAGTCGTAAATGATAGGCGTTACTTTGCTACATCCCACAGAATACAACCTAAGCAGAATAATAAGAATACACAAATAATATAAATGTTCAGTCTGCTAGTTGAATCATATGACCACATCTGAATATCTAGACTGTCGCGAATTACTAAAGATCATATGCCGAACGGCATGTTATTGAATAAGTACACATATACATACTTAAAGCTTTACAGTACTGAGAACGTAGCAATATGTGAGCAACAGAATGAAACAACAATGTTTATGTGCGCTCAGTAGTTTTGCGTGTACCGTATTGTAACCTCACATAATATGTACATTGTTTAAACATTGGTTGATGAAAGGTAGCATGGAACATTTGAGTTAAACACATATAATAATCATTTAGAAATACATTCACTGACATTCACTTTCATTGCAAACACGCAATAAAATATACAACACGTGCGCAAGAATTGCTTTGCTTCCACGAGCCCGATCATATGTAATTGTGATTTACTGAACCTATATTATGTCTTAACGTTACTACATTATACTGTAAACTATTTTGATGTAAGATTGTTAGATTGGTTCTACATGGTCTGACACAACTATGATACAGATATTCCTTGTTGTACTTATTCAATACTGCATAGTTTAAATGATGATATTGGCATAAACTAACAGTATGGAACGTAATAGAAAACAGAGAAAATATGAACATAATTTAAGAACATACAATGAATGAATTGAACATGGCTTACCTTCAAATAACCAAGAGAAGCATCGATTAGTGGCCAGTCTTTATTCGGTGCATTTCATGAGTGAAATACCCCGAATAAAGGCCGTTATATATACCACCGATGCTCTCAGAGTTCGTGATATGGTCGCGCGTTCAATGGTCACTTCTTTAAACAATACTTACAAATGCTGCTAATCTACACTGCTGACTATCTAAATCTTAAGATTACCTCGTAGCTTTGAAAGACTTGAGAGTGCAGAAATGACCAAAATTATCTAACAGTTTTCTCGGAGAGCGTGTTATCATAGAGTAATGTTTACTTCTCTCTCCGGACATGTCGTCTTAACAGTTAGTACATAAGGCTTATCAAGAAAACTTGGGAATGAAGACGAGCGTATATCGATACTGACAGATTATAGACTTGGGCCGGACCATGCATGTAGTCTTAAAGCTTAACACATAATGCTAATTATCTTACAACTTGGAAAATGAAGATCAACACTAACTGAGACAGCGTTTAGTATTCTCGTTATTGAATAAAATATACAAAATGTGCTGTTTAGTCCTATTTTATAAAGTCACAATTATTTATATAAGATTGAGGAAAGTATGACGTATTTTAGAACTATGATATACCCCTGGGCGTCGTGGAGCTTTTGTCCTCAAAAGCTTTTATGTTGAGAACAGTATACAATTTTTCAAAATACAATGAAACAAAATAAAGGAATGAATACAAGAAAACCAATCACATCAAATATCAGATATATAAATGATTACACAAGATAATAGATACACAATATAATGTATTGCTCAGATGCAATGCCCACACATAAATGTATCTACAACATGTCTGTCTGACCAAGGACCTGATAAAAACTGTTGTGGACTTGAAGAATGTATGCACTAAAAGGTTGTGATAAAATCTTATGGAGTTTACGGGCATTAAGAAAAGATATTCTTATGTTGTTAGGGATAACAAGGGAAGTTGTAGTCAGCTTGTTTGTAATGGTGAATCCTGGCCAATCAACAGAAAGAGTAGGGAAGAAATAACCTGAGATTCGAAGGTTGTCTATACTGTAAGGTGGCTGAATGTTCCAATAAGAAGGGCACAGAGTCAGGGACATGACTGGGACAGTAACACAATCCGGACCTGTAGTCAGTTCCAGCAGGAGACCATTCTGAGAAGCGGAGCGTCGGCGACATAGAAGGAGCAAGACAGAAGCAACAGCTACAGTGAGTAATCCTAAAAGGATAGACACGTGATAGTCAGCCAGATCCCTTAGCACAAAGTCAGATACACCTGTACTAGGAGTAGTTGGAGCGATGTAACTGAGATCTGGAGGCATCACAGCTTTGACAGGGGCAGCCCGGGTGACCAACAAAAGAGCAGCAGTAAGTGAACGAATTTTAAAGAACATCCAAAGGGCCAAAACAAAGGTTATACCAGAGATAGTACTGGCAATAATGGCAATGAGGAAGTTTGTATTCAGCCATGTGGTTTGAACAGCAATTTTTCCATCAAGAAGAGGCTCAGCTATTGTTTGAAAAATAGTTTCATCTCTCTTGGCACTCTCTGCAATATGCTTGAGACTAAGATGGGCCTTATTGTCATTTGCCAAAGTATCAGACATCATGTGTGAATATATTTTAAATTTTGGAATAGAAAAATTAAGAGCTTTCTGAAACGTTGTATCTCAGGCAATTGTTGAGAGAGCAGATGAATCAAAGAAATGTTGAAGTAAGGCTAGATTAACAGGGAAAAGTTAAGAGAAAAGGCTGCTGGGTAGGAGAATGTTTCAGTTGATAATGAGCAGTAACAAGGAATTTCTAGAACACAAAAGGAACAACCAGTAACCATTCTATGGCTGCCCTTACAAGCAAGCCTCAGAAAGTGGATCCTGTAGACGAGAACATGAGAGTCATCTATCATTAGTATCTGGGAAGGCTCTGGTTTGGTAATGTAACGAAAATCACAGAGAGCCTTCACAGAAGATTTGATGTTTTGAAACAAGGCAAAAGTACACGAAGGCATAGTTGTAGAATGGACCGCAATACGAAAGGGACACTTAAGTAATATGTCATCACCGAAGCAAGAACCTGTCATAGAACTGGAGAGTTCAACATATTGTTGATGATCTTGTGAAATGGCAATAATATCTGGAATATCTAAAAGTTGTGTAGCATGAGATGAAGTGTCGTTGATGGGTAAGGGCAGAGATATTATTTTGAATAGTTGATATGGCTTGGTCATAGAGGACAACAAGGTATATTGTCAGTAAGGTTTGTGTAATTATTAATTCACATGATTTTCATATAAGGTATTAATTGTCCAAGTTTGAAATAATGCTGATGTTTTATATAATTTGACTCATGAAATACACCCAATAAAGACTGGCCACTAATCGATGCTTCTCTTGGTTATTTGAAGTTGTTGCGGTCCCAAGCTAATTCCCCGACAACACATTCTAGGTATTATAATTATCCTAGACCAAATATAAACCCTAACAAGGTTACTATAAGGTCAAGGTTATTATAAATGGTGGAGAATCCGGGTATGTCGTCTTAACAGTTAGTACATAAGGTGAGGTGAGGATGAAATTGGGTTTTACGTCGTGCTTGAGAATATTTCGCTCATAGGACGACTAGTACATAAGGCGTAACAGGAAAACTTTGGAATGAAGACGAGCGTATATCGATACTGACAGATTATAGACTTGGGCCGGACCATGCATGTAGTCTTAAAGCTTAACACATAATGCTAATTATCTTACAACTTGGAAAATGAAGATCAACACTAACTGAGACAGCGTTTAGTATTCTCGTTATTCGATAAAATATACAAAATGTGCTGTTTAGTCCTATTTTATAAAGTCACAATTTTTTATATAAGATTGAGTAAAGTATGACGTATTTTAGAACTATGGTAATTATAAGAGCGGATTTATAAAACAATAACTATTGTTTGATTGTTGCCGACACTGTACAACATACTCCACATGGTGGCATCCTGGAACCAAACCAGATAATACAAGTGATGGGCCAGAAAACACAGACACAAGCGCATTTAGAAATATTGTAAAAACCGAAAACAATATGATAATTTTGAATATTACATGCTTCTGCAATAGTATTACGTATTTTGTATTCGGCATATACCTGAATGAATGGAAGGAGGTGTATACGGTTCATGTCAGTTAAGATGCGTTTTAGTGCTTCTTACTTTGGAAATGTAGCTACAGTACAACCAGAAATTATTGAGAATTTAAGATTGTAATTGTTTTAATTTTCTTCACTCATTACTCACGTATTAAATGTATATTAGCAGAACATAACTCCAGATTCAAAGACAGGTGAACAGTTAGTATTTTGTCAAGTCACCATGGGCAGCAATGCAGGCTTCAATGCGGCGGGGCATACTACAGATCAAAGAAGTTAGAAAGTCGTGGTCCATGCTGTCCCAATATCGGACCACCTCTTCTTTCATTTCACCAATATTTGTCAGATTTTTCTCATTGACACTTTCCTTCAAAAGTCCCCAAACATTTTCCATTGGATTTAGGTCAGGGCTATAGCTTGGTCAATCTAATAATGTCATATTTTGGGTCCGAAACCAGGCCTGTGAATGCTTTGAACGATGTTTTGGGTCGTTGTCCTGCTGGAAAATCCAAAAGTTTCCATAGAACACGTGAGCAGATGGAAGTACTTGTCCCTCGAGAATATCTGTGTACCGCTCACTGTTCATATTCCCTTCAAATACACAGAGGGGCGTTGCCCCTAACACATATATGCCACACCACACGTTAAATTTCGGACTGTACTTTGGGCGCTGATACAAAGGTTTTTCAGTTTGTTTGGCCCAGAATTTCAGTGTATTAGGAAACAGCCACACAGAACTTTCATCTGAGAAAATCACATTGTCCCAGTTAAAATTCCTATGCTGTAAGCACCAGTTCAACCTTCGCTCCTTTTGTTCAGGTTTCATGATCGGTGATGGAATTCCTCGACTTTTCTGCCAACCCATTGCATGCAGCTCAGCTCTAATTGTCTCCTTACAGACAGCCACAGTTCCTCTATCAATCATATCAAGCCTTAAGATTTTTTAAACTGCTTCGTTTGTTTTTAGAAACAAGAATACCAAGTCGCCTCCTGTCACCGACAGTCAATTTTCTGAGCCTACCTGCGCCTCCCTGGTGCCCAGTGCCATATCCATTTGCATTATTTTTCAAAACACGATAAACAGTGAACAAAGGGATGCCTGTTCTACTTGAAATCACTTTAGCTGATCTGATGTCCTTGTTATAATACTCTAATATCAACTTCCTCTTCTCTAAAGCATCCATACTGAGGATCAATGAAAATGTCGTCTGCTAGCAAGTAAACAAAGAGGGATAACTCTTCACAAACTAATGAAAAAGGATTAACAGAGTTGTCTCTCTTGAATGAAACCAAGCACTTGATAGCTGATCAAGGTTGTTTATACTAGAAATCCAATTAAATATATTCCTAAAATTCTCAATAATTTCTGGTCATACTATATAAGGATATTGAAAAGATACTGAATGCCAATCACATCACTATTTATGGTGTGACATTCTGGTTCTCAAGAAGCTTGGACCCTTGACCATGGCATTTCTGTCTCATGGCCAATTTGGTGAATGTGTCAAGCTAAGTGAGATGAAACAAAGATAAGACCTCAGCAGTGGACACTGTCTAACCGGGTGTATAGATTGTAATTTAAACCCAGACGCCAGTCACCAAACGCCATGCAGGTTTTACACTATGTCGCCTATGGTTGCCTGCATGCTGGCGTTATTAAAGTACTCTCCACGCTTAACTCGAATATTTTCTGTGAGTGAGTGAGTTTAGCTTTACGCCGCACTCAGCAATTTTCCAGCTATATGGCGGTAATGTGTTCTGTCAAATGCTCTTTCCGGTTCAAATGGTTTGCTTGTTAACTTTTCACCTCGACATAGTGTCCGACCTGAAACTTCAAGTCCACCACATCATTTATTGCCCTGTTCAATTTTCATCAAAGCTTCAAACCACTGTAAATAACCGAGTCTGGACCAGGCAATCCTGTGATTGACATCATGAGCAACGTAAATGGGATACGATGACATGCATCAACCTAATCAGCGAGACTGACTACCCCACCCCGTTTGTAGCCGTTTTCGACTAACGGTGATCGGAAATCGCATCTTACAAGCGTGGGGCGGTGGGTAGGCGAATGGTTAAAGCGACCAATCGTCACGGTGAAGACCCGGGTTCGATTCCACACATGGGTACAATGTGTGAAACCAGTTTCTGGCGTCCTCCGCCGTGATATTGTCGGCGTTAAACAACAAATACAGCCTCACACATTCGACATACAGGATAGCAAAACGAAGCACTACACAAGTTAGGTAAATCTATATTTAAAAATGATAGGGGGTGATAAGGATATAGTTTTGAAATTTTGTCTTATTACAATCAAAACTAACGTGCGTTGAATCTCCATCTGATTTATTTAAAATGCTATTTCAGGGTTTAACAAATTACGAGTAAGTGGCAAAAGTATATGGCAAAACATGACGCTGGTCCATAAAATATATACATAGTGCTGTGAAAACAATGTATGGTTTTCCTATGCAACATATTCACAGGTATTTGCGAATGTCTTAAATATCTCGAATAGTCCTGCGTACGCCAAACAGATCACTGCGATCTGAACATTGTCTCTCGTCACTTGCAACAACGGCGACCCTATGCACGTTCAAATATTCTTGTTGCGACTGTGTTCCCCGCCTCAAGTGTCTGAAAAGCAACGGAAAATATATAAAACACGATACAGCATTTCATTTATCACTATTCCCCAGTCACGGGGAACGTGGTCATTTTGTTCCATATAGTAAAGAATAAATTGCAAGTAGTCTGTTTAGTTTTACGGAAAGTGAGTGAGTGAGTGAGTATGGTTTTATGCTGCTTTTAGCAATATTCCTGCAATATATATCACGGCGGGGGACACCAGAGTTGGGCTTCACACACTGTACCCACATGGGAAATCGAACCCGGGTCTTCGGCGTGACGAGCGAACGCTTTAACCACTAGGCTTCTCCGCCGTCCCTTTTACGGAAAGAAAAACTGTAGGTTATACGGAGAAGAAAAAAGGCAAATGTTTCACGCACTTTGTAGTGTTTTTAACAAGTGGGGTCATTATCAAGATTATGGTATGCCGTATCAATCACCGAGGACAATGTCAACATCTGATGTAACCTCCGCCAACTGCATTAACATCCCTGACGTTCCTCCTCCTCCTCACTAACTGTATCAGACGTTAAATTTGACGTTGAGGTGTTGCGTTCCATTCTTGATGGAGGACTTTCACGAGGGTATTCTCGGGACGTGGACAACCTGTGTCGTGTTAAAAACAAGTCCAGAAAAAAGTGTCCACTTCGTGCGAATGGGTTACTGAGCTAATTAACGCCAGGCAATAGACAAAGTTGTATGTTATTACAAGACTTCGGGCAATACTAAATTGTGAAATTATAAGGAAACGAAACAGGCTTTTTAACAATTTTAATAAGTAAGACAAACACAGTGGCGCTGATGTGTTCAGTATGTTTTTGGTGACCTCGTATCTTTCTTGCAGGTTGGAGTATTTTATCATTTAACATCGACAAACCTCAATTTCATTCGGAACAGCGAGGTGGTTATGTACACTGAGCGCCTTGGTGAGGATGTCGTTGACGCTAGATACAATTGATTTACAATCCTTGATGGTACATTGCCAAGTACACCAGTTATTTCGTCTTCTCTTCGGGATTCTGTAAGTGTGCCCATTCACGCAGAAGTATCTTCCACTTCAGGATGTGGGAAGAAATTTGTAATCCAACTGTATGTTTGCCATAGCGAAAGTGATGCACGATTTACCTCATTTTGCCAGAATTATATAGTACAATTTTCTTTACACTGAGTAAACGTTTGAGTAAATTTACTCACCTACTGATGTATACTTATGATGAACATTTTTTATTAAATCAATCAACACTGAAAACAATTTCTGAGTGAACTCACTCACCTATCATAGTCACATGCTTACCAGAGTGAACAGAGTTCATGAAACCTTAACAATTCCGGATAACACAGTTGACATTTTAACTCTTCCCGATCAGTAAATCCCTTACAAAAACAACACACGACATCAAAGGTACACCGACGTTTGGAATAAAGGATCTCTCTGGCGTATTCTGCACCCATAATGTCCAAAACATGCTCTATAGGATTGCGGTGTGGACTCCTGGCGGGCTAAGGTAGAGTTTGCTACTGCCTCTTGACGTCATCCATGAAGACTAGTCTTGTGTTCCGAGGATGGTCATGGAAATGTGGCACAACAACCGTGTCTTGGATGTCAGTGATGTACCGATGTCCATTCAGATTTTGTCTAATCGTCACAAGGCCAAGTTTACAGCCATATGAGATGCACACCCTACCATCAATAAACCTCCGCCAAACGGTACTTGCTCCAAGATGGTTAACACATGTCATCGGTTCCCAATTGCGCAGATCGATGTTCATGCTGTTGGTCACTGGATTGTCTGGTTCAGACTCGATTATTTACAGACCGCCGCCATATAACTGGAATATTGCTGAGTGCGGCGTTAAACTAAACTCACTCACTCACTTGCTCCAAGATATTCCGTTGTGCATATGCAGTGTTTCTGCGGCACCAAAGACGAGCTCGACCTTCAGTCGGAACAAAAATCTACTTTCGTCCTACCAGTGGATCCTTCCCAGTCAAATTCCAGTCGAGTGTGACATTGCACGCCCTGCTGCTTTGTTGTCTGGGAATAACAGAGGCCGCATGACAGATCCTCGGGCTCTATACCTGGCTGGTTTTAGAAGTTTTCGGGCCCTTCTGTTGGACACACGACGATGTGGAAGCTACACTGTATTAACAAGCTACTTGACATGACCAGATGAAGTCTTTATTCACACCATTATTCACAACAGTGAGACTGTAAACAGTCGCTGAAAATAGCGGTTTTGTCAATATTCCAGAATGTCATCTTGCGGAAATATAAGCTAATCGTAACCATGTCATCAGAAATCCCCAAGCGTATATATACTGCAGATCAAATATATCTGTTTTATGCGGATTTTCGTTTGTTGCCATTTTGTAAGTGACACCGAACCCTAAATAGTAGCCGTTGTCTGATTGGTTAAATCCGTTCGGTCGTCTCGCGTTTGATTGGACGGTCATAGGTCGCTCAAAAGTTAGCTGACGCGACCTACTTGGGTGTTTACTTAGACTGGAGTTGTCACCGGTGAACGACTGAAACGCTGACCTTTCACCTTTACTACTTCCATGGTGTTTTCTGGCCAGTTGGCTGATAGTCGGTGATTGACAACCAGCTAGCTCTTGCAATAGCCATGCCAGCATTCCGTACACCAATAACTAACCATCTTGGAGCAGTTGTCACTTGCGGAGGCCCATATACACTAAACGCCAAAAGAAACGTTACCCTCCTCCCTTAATGACGGCTGGCGTTTTGATGCGTGCACGTCCACGTCCACTTCTTGGTCTGTCTACGGTAACCTCAGTCTGTCTGAAGCCCTGAATAAGTCTTATAACCGTGATGCGGTGGTTTCCGAGGGCGTTGGCAACAGCATTGTATGTCGACCCAATCTGCACCATCCCAATGGCTCTTTCTCTCTCTTCAGCTGTTAATCGTGGCCTTTTTCTCATACTTGTGTATCAGATCATGTATTCTAGTCTCTCTTCATACCCTATAGAATCATTCTACATGTGAAATCGATGCATATTGCTGCGTTGTGGCGACTGATATTGCTATGTGTAAACAGAAAATGGAAAAATGTTGCTTTGCAAGCAAAAATGTTAACTAAGATAATCTTACATGTTCCTAAACATTTTTTCACAATATCAAAGACACGTTTTATTTGTTTTCACTAATGCAAACTAGCAGAAAATGTTTTAAAAGACTGAAATCATAGGAATGATTCTTTTACAATTTTACACACTCTACAACAGTTGTTTCTTGTTTTAATAGTTGAAAAATGGTGACTTTAAATGATTTATCTTTGTCCCAAAGCAGAATTTTATTCCAACCTTTCTGTTGGACATCTAAATCACTGTTATTGGTTTATTTCGGCATGGACAAAATAGGACAATTTAACTCTTCTGAAAAAGATGCATTTTACCTAAATATGAATGCATTTGAGAAATAGTTTTCGTCATTTTGATAAAGTTGTGTTGTTCAGCTTTCTTGTAAACTAATACCTTCTAACATATCTTTGATAGTTTTTTAAGTAATTCATAAAGGTAGGAGGGTAACGTTTCTTTTGGCGTTTAGTGTATGCTTTGATTATCAACAACGAAATCAATTGATTTTTCAGGTTATTGCGCCATGTGAACAGTTTACTGAAACTTGGTAGTTACTCAAGGAAGGGTACACGTATTGCACGTGGTACTCAGCTTTGAACACACATAACTATTTTCCATGTGTATGTATAAATGGCACAAATGTGGACCAGCTATACCTTTTCTTGACCTTCCGTAGTCAAGATTTAGCAGCCACATGTTAAGGAATTGTTACAATTACCAGAGTGATTATGAGGCGGAACTACTTACAAGGATCAGTTTGCCATCCTTGATCTCACGGATCATTTTGTGCTTCTTGTGTTTCGAGTCAACAGGGTCCACATCAAAGACTATCTTCCCATCAACAAACGTTGGGTGCAACTGTAATTAGGGACACAAATACCACTAAGACATAAGTACACATTCATTCTCAAACAAAACCCTTGCGTATACAAACATCATACATCAAGAAAACTGTTGGTGATTTTAAATTCTAATGTTGGTTTGACTAGTGGAACTGAAACTGGGTTTAGTTGCTTTAGTTTTCAAGGACGACCTAAATTCCCAAATGAGAGAAGGAACACGCGATTTCCGTCAATCTTCTTCATCTGCGAGAACACGTTTGAAATATTTGATCCCACTAACATAAATTATAAAGTAAAATGTCACTGAAACTAAATTTGCATTTAACCCTCAAATTATGTAATCTAATCCTTACTTTTCCTTCTATTAATCCCATTTGCCCAATCTAGATAATCTGCGTATCAGTGAGTGTTCAGAAGACGCTGGATGATCCGATTAAGTTTCTATATTAAACCCACATGCGTTATGGAGTGAGTGAGTGAGTATTGTTGACGTCACTATATACATGTGTATCGGCTTTAGCCTTAAGCATACCTTGGCTTTACCGTGTGGCATATCCTGATCAAACGTTTCCCCGAATCTGAAGAGGAATTCTTGTGATTTGACCATAGCTGACATGTAGATGCGGACCTGATCGTCAATGATGCTGATTTCACAATCTGGCTTCATGGTGCTAACCATTTTACGGGCAAGGAAAGGGGCATCTGTGAACAAAAGAAGGGTGTCCTCATCTCAAAAGAGGTATTTGTGTTGTCGGGAGGTACATAGTGGGTATTGCTTCGATGGAGATGGTGTGGTACTATCGGTACTACTACTACTACTACTACTACTACTACTACTACTACTACTACTATTAGTAAATACTACTACTACTACTACATGTACTACCGAGGCTGTCGGGTAGCCTAATGGTTAAAGCGTTCGCTCGTCACGATGAAGACCCAGGTTCGATTTCCCACATGCGTACAATGTGTGAAGCCCACTTTTGGTGTCCCGCGCAGTGATATTGCTGGAATATTGCTAAGAGCGGCTTAAAACCAAACTCAATCACTCACACACTACTGCCATCACTTATTAACCCGTAAAGATTCGGGTCAGAATTGATCTTCAGCAACCTATATATACTTGTGGTCAGTTTAATTTCTCTGACATAGTTGACACATGTCATATATAGATGTTCATGCTGTTGAGCACTGGATTGTCTAGTCCAAACTCGATTATTTACAGAATATTGCTGACAACAAACAAACAACTAATTTTATTCATCCAGTTACTGTCATTAAATATCCCATTACCATTTGAACTTTAAATAGCGATTCTACTGAGACTGGCCGAAAGTCTACTGCCATCTTTTAACGCTTGCCTAACTTGGTATTCCGTGGTGTTAATGGGACGGATGTACTCCAGTCAACAAAAAAGTGGTACTTGATTTGTATACGCTGAACCGCCCTAAGGTACATCGTTATAACGTATATTTGAGTATCATTTTCTACGCTTAATAAGATGTTTGGTGCTATTGTAGCATCGGTGGATGCTAAGATACCTCGATCAACATGTTTACAGAGACTTCAGTGCGGTGCTGAATGAGCAATACTGGTCAATGCATCCGTACATACAGACATACAGGCGGACCTTACTGTGTTAATACAGTCAGTGTACATACAGACATACAGGCGGACCTCACTGTGTTAATACAGTCAGTGTACATACAGTAGACAGACTAAACATAGGTAACAGGATCAACCAGTCACACGGAACATTTTCACAAGCGGGTGCAGAGTTATTAATAAACCAAACTAGCCCAGCTTAAAAAGCGTCATTATGATTCTCCGCCATGATAATACGAGTACATTGAGCTGTCTATGGTCACGGGTTAGAGGTCAAAATATAGGCCGGTCTGTGACTGAGTGACGTGCACGAAAGGTCAAGGTGAATGCAGCTCTTTACATATGAACGTGGGAGTCTACAACAGACTGATTGCTGTATGCGTCATGTTTCGCGTCTGACGCTTGAACCACGTTGCGTTAACCCTCCGATTGCCTGAACGAGTAACTGCATTACTAACAGAATGACCTTCACGGTGTATTTTTATTGCGTGTGTTATGACTTACAGAATGATCTTCACGGTGTATTTTATTGGATGTTATAATCACTAACAGAATGACCTTCACGGTGTATTTTTATTGCGTGTGTTATGACTTACAGAATGATCTTCACGGTGTATTTTATTGGATGTTATAATCACTAACAGAATGATCTTCACGGTGTATTTTATTGGGTATGTTATAATCATTAAGAGAATGATCTTCACGGTGTATTTTTTTGCGAGTGTTATAATCACTTACAGAATGATCTTCACGGTGTATTTTGCTGGGCATACATTATGTTATAGCGAACTGACAATTAAACGCGAGTGTAATGTATTCGTAAACAACACAACCTTGTTTGCCAATTTGACTCGACGATCAGAGGTAGGTAAGAACTATATAGGGCACAGCCACAGTTTATTCAGTGTTTCCTTGTTGGTACAATCATACTGTCTATACAGTATAGTTAGAATTGCTACGATGTCCACTCACGAGCCCACTTCTCTATGAGCTTCCTTCATCGATGATACAGATTTATTTATCTATATATGTACCATATACAAACGAGGTATTTCAAACTGGGTATGTGATTATGAGCGTAAAACAAAGATAAATATTTACCCATTTCTTTGAGGAAAGCTTCGAAGTTATTAGATTCCACCATTTTCCACTTCCCCACAAACTTCGTCCTGATTTCCTTAATGATGTCGGCGTTAGACTGAGATTCTGCCATTATTTGTTGAGGATAGTGGAGCTTGCACTACTGTGAGACCGACGAACGTGTACCCGACCCTCGCTGTACCTATACTTACATCTACAGCAGTTACCTCCCTTAGACTATACACCCGTTATTATTCAATTTCTGATCGATGAATGTGTCAATTAGCTCTCTCAAGCATGGCGCGATGTACGTGCTTGTTGACCGCCAAGAGTGAGGCGAGGTGAGTCAGTGAGTGAGGCTTGCGTTCAGTATTTGTACATGCACTTATATATCGACCGCAACCTTGCGTGTGTATGGCTGCTTGGATTAGTATGGATAATAAATTGGGTTTTATATTGCTAATCCAACGAGCTTACTATGTCGCGATTTAACGCATACATCACACTGACTTAAAGCTTCGAGCCGAGCAGTACAACATATTCACTTATGAAGAGCACAGGGTACGGAAACAACAAGTAACATATTTCAACGTCCGTTCTCCGAAAAGGTGCTTAGCCACTTGACCAAGCAAAACGTGCTCATGCCAAGCCCTGGGGCGGTGGGATAGTCTAGTGGTTAAAGCCTTCTCTCGTCACGCTGAAGACCTGGGTTCGATTGTCCACATGGGTGCAATGCACGAAGCCAATTTCTGCTGTACCCCGCCGTGATATTGCTGGAATATTGATAAAAGCGGCGTAAAATATATAAACTCACTCGCTCATGCCAACCTTTTAAGATATACCTCGGAATTTGCTGAAACGTCCCGCATACTGCAACCAAGCTTAACGGGTTTTCTTTCCCATTACTTCCGGGGGCCTACTCCGAGTGAGTGAGTGAGTTTGGTTTTAAGCCGGTTTTAGAAATATTCCAGCAATATCACGGCGCGGGACACCAGAAATGGGCTTCACACATTGTGCCCAAGTGGGAAATCGAACCCTGGTCTTCGGTGTGACGAGCGAACGCTTTAACCACTAGGCTACTCCGCCGTCCCTTTTACGGAAAGAAAAACTGTAGTTTACACAGTTTGCATTAACATCCCTGACGCTCCTCCGCGCTGACTGTATCAGACGTTAGATTTGACGTTAAGGCGTTGCGCTCCATTCTTGATGGAGGACTTTCACGACATTTTGCACTAAAGAATCTCTCTGGCGACCCATAATGTCCCAAACATACTCTATGGGCCTGCGATCTGGACTCCTGGCGGGCCACGGTAGAGTTTGCCAGTCACTCATTCTCAATAAACCGTTGCATTGATGTCTCTGGTTATTTAACTTATAACGACAATGTCCTTGATTAATCTGGTGATTGGATTAAATGCAGTAGTACTTGGGTGTACTATAGCAGGCATCCATTCAGTGTTTTTATGTAAACTTCAAAAGCGCAAAGGAAGGATATTACTGATTTTGTAATGTACGTTACTGTCTCCAGGCTGAACTGACAAAAGTCATTGGCTTTGTTTTAATGAATTCTGCAAGAAATATTATAAATAAAGTAGTATTATGATAAACGAGATATGTGACTATACATTTCTATTAAGCTCCAATGATGTGATCGTTTTGCGGATTTTGCAGAGTATGTTATAACTGTGTCTCCAGTTTTCATGCAACTCACGACTAACTTCATAAATCCATTGACGCAAACAATATTTACGGAGTAAAAACAATTATTTGGATTTATTTTAAATGATAATAATGTACTTTACAAGAAAACAATGTTTGGTTCTTACAAAGAATCGTTTAATGTTTTTACACTCACTTTAAGTGCCATTATTCAGTGATTATGGTTAAGGATGTAACGTACGTGACCACCAACTGTTCCTCAATTTGAGATTAAATATATAGGTCATTATTAAAATAATGCATGTAGTTGTTTTTATGCAATGTGTCATAAAAAAATGCCGACAAACTTGGGATCAATAAGGACAAACTTGTACATGACAGAAATTTGCGTTACCGTAATGTACGTTACCATCCGATACGAAACTACCAGCCACGGGTCGCTGAATGTGAAACAGCTTAGTTTGAAACACGTGGAGTGACGTAGCCATTTTTGCTTACGCCATTAGAACGCACGACAGCCGACCATATCTTCCGACTTAGATTATCAACAAATTTCGGTAAGTGCTTTGAGTGTTTTTTGTCAGGATAATATGAGGCTGACTTTATCTGCACATTGTTTCCTCATCTATAGCCTGTACTTTCTGAAACATTGTCATATTGATGAATGCTATGCGAAATACGTCGTATGGGTGTTACTGAATATGTGTTATGTACGTTACAATTGGTAGACATAGAGGATAGCAAAACGAAGCGCAACAGAAGTTAGGTAAAGGTTTATTTAAAAACAATAGGGGATGATAAGGATATAGTTTTGAAATTTTGTCTTATTACAATAAAAAATAAAGTGCTTTCAATCTCCATCTCATTTATTTTAAAATGTAATTTCAGGGTTTAACAAATTACGAGTAAGTGTCAATGTTGTTAGTACCGTCACGTGGAAATGTATATGGCATAACATGGAGCTGGTCCATAAAATATATATCTAGTGTTGTGAAAAGAATACATTGTTTTAAGGTGCAACTTATTCACAGGTATTTGCGAATGTCGTAAATATCTCGAATATTCCTGCGTACGCCAAACAGATCACTGCGATCAGAACATTGCAACAACGTGCAACACCAACGACCCTATGCACGTTCAAATATTCTTGTTGCAACGGTGTTCCCCGCCTCAAGTGTCTGAAAGCAACGGAAAATATGTAAAACACGAAACAGCATTTAATTTATCACTATCCCCCAGCCACGGGGAACGTGGTCATTTTGTTCCATATAGTAAAGAAAAAATTGCAAGTAGTGAGTTTAGTTTTACGGAAAGTGAGTGAGTGAGTATGGGTTTACGCCGCTTTTTGCAATATTCCAGCAATATCACGGCGGGGGACACCAGAAATAGGCTTCACACATTGTGCCCATGTAGGGAACCGAACCCGAGTCTTTGGCTTGACAAGCGAATGCTTTAACCACTGGGCTACCCAAACGCCCCAACTCACCTTTGAAAAAGCATAACTATGATATGAATATAAATGGCTATATGTGGGTTACAAATCATAGGTGTTGCAATTCTATTTTCCATGTGTATATATGGCGCAAATATAGACCGTCCATATATATCTTTTCTTGACCTTCCGTAGCCAAGCCATAGCAGCCACATGTTAAGGAATTGTTACAATTACCAGAGTGATTATGACGCAGAACTACTTACAAGGATCAGTTTGCCATCCTTGATCTCACGGATCACTTTGTTCTTCTTGTGTTTCGAGTCAAAAGGGTCCACATCAAAGACTATCTTCCCATCAACAAACGTTGGGTGCAACTGTAACAAGAAGACAAAGCCATCAATATCCCCCCGCAATGGCAAAATACTCTTCATAAATATGTCAGTTAGCTATGACTATGTCAAATGTTTTGGCGTGGTTATATCAATGAGTGAGTTAGTTTACTTTTATGCCACACGCAGCAATATTCCAGCTATATGGCCGTGGTCTGTAAATAATAGAATCTGGACCAGATAATCCAGTGATCAACGGTATGAGCATCGATCTATACAATTGGGATACACTGATATGTGTCAACCAAGTCAATGACTATATTGCAAAGTGGAAGGAGAGTATTGAAAGGTTTTTAAGTTCTGCTCCGAAAAAGAGCACCAACACCAATTTCAGTCGAAGTCAAACTTTTTTGCCATGGAAATGCAAAATATAATTTATTCAGAAATCCAAAACTACCAAAAGGCACCAGTCCATCACCAGATCTATCTATGTGTGAAGTTTGGTAAAGAAATATTGAACGGTTTTAAAGTTCTGCTCCAGAAAAGAGTACCAACACCAATTTCAGTCGAAGTCAAACTTGTTGCCATGGAAACTGATTTTTTGTTTTCTGATTTTTTTATTATAATCAGAAATTAAAAACTACCAAACGGCACCAGTTCACCACCAGACCTATCTATGTGCCACGGCTGGTAAAGAAATATTGAACGGTTTTTAAGTTCTGCACTGGAAAAGAACGGTCGGACACACGGACGGACGGACGGACGGACGGACTGCGTGCCTTACGGGGGATAGTTAGGGACGAACATACCAGTAAGACATAAATAAACTTTCACTCTCACACAAAAACCTTGCGAATACAAACATTATACACCATGAAAACTGTGATTTTAAATTCTAATGTTGGTTTCAATAACAGACTGGTGGAACTGAAGGTGGGTTGAACATTTGCTTTAGTTTTCAACGACTACCTAAATTACCGCATGAGAGAAGGAACAGGTTTTCCATCCATCTTCTTTATCTATGAGAATCTTGATATGCCTGAGTGAGTGAGTTTAGTTTTACGCCGCACTCAGCAATATTCCAGCTATATGGCGGCGGTCTTTAAATAATTGAGTCTGGACCAGACATTCCAGTGATCAACAGCACAAGCATCGATCTATGCAACTGGGATACAATGACATGTGTCAACCAAGTCAGGAAGCCTGACCACCCGATCCCGTTAGTCGCCTCTTACGAGCAGCATGGGTTGCTGAAGACAAATTCTAACCCGGATATTCACGGGTAAGCACACGTTTGAAATATTTGATCCCACTAATACAATTGTATGTAAATTGTCACTCAAACTAAATTTACATTTAGCTCAACACATTATGTCATCTAATCTCCCATAAATCTCTTTATAGTATCAGTGAGTGTTCAGAAGACGCTGGTTGATCCGATTGAGTGAGTGAGTTTAGTTTTACGCCGCACTCAACAATATTCAAGCTGTATGGCGGCGGTCTGTAAATAATCGAGTCTGGACCAAACAATCCAGTGATCAAAAAGCATATGCATCCATCGGCGCAATTGGGAACCGATGACATGTGTCAACCAAGTCAGCGAGCCTGACCACCCGATCCCGTTAGTCGCCTCTTACGACAAGCACAGTCGCCTTTTGTGGCAAGCACGGGTTGCTACGACCTATTCTACTCCGGATCTTCACGGATCTCCGATTAAGTTTCTATATTAACCCTACATGCGTTATGGAGTGAGTGAGTATTGTTGACGCCACTAGATATCAGCTTTAGCCTTAAGCTTACCTTAGCTTTACCGCGTTCCGTTTCCTGATCAAACGTTTCCCCGAATCTGAAGAGGAAGTCTTGTGACGTGACCATAGTTGACATGTAGATGCGAACCTGGTCGTCAATGATGCTGATTTCACAGTCTGGCTTCATGGTGCCAGCCATTTTACGGGCAAGGAACGGGGCATCTGTGAACAAATAAAGCGTGTCCTCATCTCAAAATCTCAAAAGACAGAATTAGATCTTGAGTGTTGGCGGGAGGGACTTTAGTGGGGATTACTTGGATGGAGATGGTGGGGTACAATCGATACTACTGCTGCTGGTACTACTACTACTACTATTACTACTAGTACTACTACTTCTCGTAACGATGAAGACCCAAGTTCGATTCCCCACTAGGGTACAATGTGTGAAGCCCATTTCTGGTGTCCTGCGCCGTGATATTGCTGGAATATTGCTAAACTCACTCACTCACACACTACTACTACCACTTATCAACCCGTGAAGATTCGGGTCAGAATTGATCTTCAGCAACCTATATATGCTTGTGGTCAGTTTAATTTCTCTGACATAGTTGACACATGTCATATAAAGATGCTCATGCTGTTGATCACTGGATTGTCTGGTCCAAACTCGATTATTTACAGAATATTGCTGACAACAAACAAACAACTTATTTTATTCATCCAGTTAATGTCATGAAATATCCCATTAGCATTTGAACTTTAAATAGCGATTCTACTGAGACTGGACGAAAATCTACTGCCATATTTTACGCTTGCCTTATTTAGTATTCCGTGGTGTTAATGGGACGGATGTACTCCAGTCAACAAAATATTGCTACTTGTTTTGTATACGCTGAACCGCCCTAAGGTACATCGTTATAACGCATATTTGAGTATCGTTTTCTACGCTTAATAAGATGTATGCTGCTATTGTAGCATCGGTGGTTGCTAAGATACCTCGATCAACATGTTTACAGAGACTTCAGTGCGGTGCTGAATGAGCAATACTGGTCGATGCATCCATACATACAGACATACAGGCGGACCTCCCTGTGTTAATACAGTCAGTATATAGTATGACCAGAAATTATTGAGAATTTTAGGAATATGTTTAATTGGATTTCGAGTATAAACAACCTTGACCAGCTATCAAGTGCTTGGTTTTATTCGGGAGAGACAACACCGTTAATCCTTTGTCATTAGTTTGTGAAGAGTTATCCCCCTTTGTTTACTTGCTAGCAGACGACATTTCAGTGATCCTCAGTATGGATGATTTAGAGAAGAGGAAGTTGATTTTAGAGTATTATAACAAGGACATCAGATCAGCTAAAGTGATTTCAAGTAGAACAGGCATCCCATTGTCCACTGTTTATCGTGTTTTGAAAAATATTGCAAATGGATACGGCATTGAGCACCAGGGAGGCGCAGGTAGGCCCAGAAAATTGACTGTCGGTGACAGGAGGCGGCTTGGTATTCTTGTTTCAAAAAACAAACGAAGGAGTCTAGCAAACGTAAGGCTGGATATGATTGATAGAGGAACTGTGGCTGTCTGTAAGGAGACAATTAGAACTGAGCTGCATGCAATGGGTTGGCAGAAAAGTCGAGGAATTCCATCACCGATCATGAACAAAAGGAGCGAAGGTTGACCTGGTGCTTACAGCATAGGAATTTTAGCTGGGACAATGTGATTTTCTCAGATGAAAGTTCTGTGTGGCTGTTTCCTAATACACTAAAATTCTGGACCAAACAAACTGAAAAACCTTTGTATCAGCGCCCAAAGTACAGTCCGAAATTTAACGTGTGGGGTGGCATATATGTGTTAGGGGCAACGCCTCTCTGTGTATTTGAAGGGAATATGAACAGTGAGCGGTACACAGGTATTCTCGAGGGACATTTACTTCCATCTGCTCACGTGTTCTATGGAAACTTTGGATTTTCCAGCAGGACAACGACCCAAAACATCGTTCAAAGCATTCACAGGCCTGGTTTCGGACCCAAAATATGACATTATTAGATTGGCCAAGCTATAGGCCTGATCTAAATCCAATAGAAAATGTTTGGGGACTTATGAAGGAAAGTGTCAATGAGAAAAATCTGACAAATATTGCTGAAATGAAAGAAGAGGTGGTCCGATATTGGGACAGCATGGACCACGACTTTCTAACTTCTTTGATCAGTAGTATGCCCCACCGCATTGAAGCCTGCATTGCTGCCCATGGTGACTTGACAAAATACTAACTGTTCACCTGTCTAATACGTGAGTAATGAGTGAAAAAAATAAAAAAATGACAATCTTTAAATTCTCAATAATTTCTGGTTGTACTGTACATACAGTAGACAGTGTAACATGCGCTGGTGTAGAGTTATTAATAAACCAAACTAGCCCAGCTTAAAAAAGGTCATTATGATTCTCCGCCATGATAATACGAGTACATTGAGCTGTCTATGGTCACGGGTTAGAGGTCAAAATATAGGCCGGTCTGTGACTGAGTGACGTGCACGAAAGGTCAAGGTGAATGCAGCTCTTTACATATGAACGTGGGAGTCTACAACAGACTGATTGCTGTATGCGTCATGTTTCTCACGCTTGGACTACGTTGCCTTCGTTTGCCTGAATGAGCTATACATTACTAACAGAATGATCTTCACGGTGTATTTTATTGGGTGTGTTATAATCACTAACAGAATGATCTTCACGGTGTATTTTATTGGGTGTGTTAAAATCACTAACAGAATGATCTTCACGGTGGATTTTATTGGGTGTGCTATAATCACTAACAGAATGATCTTCACGGTGTTTTTTATTGGGTGTGTTATAATCACTAACAGAGTGATCTTCACGGTGTTTTTTATTGGGTGTGTTTATAATCACTTACAGAATGATCTTCACGGTGTTTTTGTCAAATAAACTGACAATTAAATGAGAGTGAAATGTATTAGTACATAACACAACCTGGTTGCCGCTTGGACTCGGCGATCAGAGGTAGGTGAGTGAGTGAGTGAGTTTAGTTTTACGCCGCACTCAGCAATATTCCAGCTATCTGGCAGCGGTTTGTAAATAATCGAGTCTGGACCAGACAATCCAGTGATCAACAGCATGAGCATCGATCTGCGCCAGAGGTAGGTAAGAAATATATAGGACACAACCACGGTATTCAGCTATTTGTTTCCTTGTTGGTACAATCATACTGTCTATACAGTGCAGTTGGAATTGCCTCCACTAACTACCATGTCCACTCACATGTCCACTTCTCTATGAGTTACCTTCATCGACGATACAGAGTTATTTATCTATATAAGTACCAAGAAAAAAACGAGGTGTATCAAACTGGGTCAGTGATTATGAGCGTAAAACAAAGATAAATATTTACCCATTGCTTTGAGGAAAGCTTCGAAGTTATTAGATTCCACCATTTTCCACTTCCCCACAAACTTCGTCCTGATTTCCTTAATGATGTCGGCGTTAGACGGAGATTCTGCCATTATATGGTGAGGATAGTGGAGCTTGCACTACTGTGAGACCGACGAATGTGTACCCGGCCTTCGCTGTATCTATACCTACATCTACAGCAGTTACCTCCCTTAGAATATACACCCGTTGTTATTCAATTTCTGATCGATGAATGTGACCAATTCTACAATGGCTACGTGAAATGTTCGAATTTGTTTGGACAAAAATATAATTAGACGCTATCAATACTGGATTGAAAATGCGTCTGATTTCAGGGCAGCTTCACTGCGCACGTACGTATGCTACTGCCGCACAACTTCAGCTTGACCACCAACATGGCTAATGGAAATGCTGATAAAACATTTATTAAAACTCGAAAAATACACTTGACCTACCTTTAGAATCACCCACCAAATAAGCGCACGTGAAGTCAAACGTATCTTTTTGTTTCTGAACATTGCACGACCCGTCCCTTTTCTTAACCATGACGTTGAGGAGCTTCTCCCCTCCCCCCCCTCCCCAAACTATGTGTTACTGTTTGGGTTTTGTTTGGGTTTCCTTATCATTGCTTTTATACTTTCACTTTTAGGTTTTAGGGGTGGGTTTAGATGGCCTTGCCCCCTACTATGGGTGGCGAAGGGGATTTTTCAGGGTTTTTTTCTTTCTCATCGCCCTTGCTTTCGATGTTATTCAACCAAGCACTACTCGCATGTCAATATAAGTCTGTGGGCGTGACGTGGTCTCTGGCGGTAACTATTACCCAGTCATTATTGGCGGTAGGACGATATACCTTATAGTTAACCTGACCATGAACATTAGACACACCCTGATCAAAATACCACTGTCACGTAAATTACCACTCAACAACTTTAAATAACGGATATTAGTGATACTATCATAAGCAAGGATCAAAGCAGAAATTTCGAAGGGTTTTGACGTATGAACTTATAAAACTTAGAAACTGGATCATGGATAAAGGGGGTAGCTTTAGCTTTACAATCATTGGTTCGTGTGTTGTACTGGACACACCATTCTCAGACATTGCCGTCACTACAGGCTCCTGTGGACCAACGTCTGCAGTAGCTTCATTCTAGTTCATAGAAGTTAGACTGGATTTTATATTTTCTGACAATTCTTTTGTTTCTCTCTCTACGTTTTCTTTTGCTTTTGCAGCTCTAGACAGTGTACTGGTTTGCTTATTATACTCTTAAAAGTTCTGTTTATTTCCTGTTCCATTTGTTTCCCAGTTCTGACTTTTCCGTTCTCTGTATTCGATTTGTCTCTCTGCTTGAGATTTAGTCACAGTATCTGCAATAGATGACCTCAATTCAAGCAATAATGTATAGATACTATAATTTAACATAATGTCGCTTTCTCAAATCTGTGTAACCTCTCAGAAATCCTAAATATATTATTGTAAGTTACGTTGTAATTTACGTTACCAGCAAATATAAGACTTTATAAATGCTTTATTATGAATCGCTTGTAATAACAACACTACTTTGAACAGGTTCCCAATAGCCATTTGTTTAAGAATAAAACCATGTTTTAAAGTATTATCATCATACCAAGTGTGCAGTTTATTATGTAAAGACCTACAACAACAAATAACCATACACTGAAAATGGTTCTGTTTACATCTTTAAACTTAAATCTCTCCGACCCAGTCAGAGCTTTACTGCTTTGTCACTTGATAGGAAACCATATTTTTCAATATTCAGCTTACTTGATACACCAGTGATTTATACAGAAATTAAGGTACAGGCAATGACAAGTAATTTACGTCACAGTTCTTGTAATTTACGTTACAGGGTCATGCATGGAAGGCAAGGAATGGTTTTCATGAAACATGCCTGAATTATAAAAGTATTTAACTTGATTAATTAGTATGTTATCGTAAAGTTGCAAAAATGTAACTCGGAATCATTATACATCATGTGTCAACACTGTACAGTCATCCTTACCACTGAAAAACACTTATTCCATTTCAGGAAACTCACGTTTATCAGAGTTCACATTAGAATGATGTGCTGGAATGACCACTGTCTCCAACTCCATTCGTGACTAACTCGTGTTATTCCGGGACAAGCCGAATAGCTTCTTGGAGGTTACGGAAAGGGGCGAGTGGTGACGAATGCCTCCAAATCGTGTTTGCATGGGGTATTTATGGTGGACATTTTCATTTGCACAGAATTTCTGAACATCCACTGAACGTAAATTACAAAACGTAAATTACATCCTTATATTAAATGTCCAGGATGAGGGCTACATTGCTCAGCTTTGGCGATTTAATGTTTGGAAACATACACGGTTATTTTATCCATGTAAATGGATTAGGGTCAGCATCGATTCCTATGAGACTAATTGTACTGTGACCGTCACGTATGATTACATCCTTTGGAAAATTGCTCCAATAACTAAAGATAAAATGGGTTAGTTCGTTCTATTGATTCTCCTTGTTGATCAGTTGACATTTGCTAAAGTGAACCGTCTGCTGGGTAATGCACGGCACCATAACTATGTCTCCAGATATGGGTACGACCATCTACCTTATGCAATAAGAAACACCTCTCATCTGAAAAGTGAACCCCCGCCATGATGCAATGTTCCCGCGAACACCTCGATTACGTCAGGCACGTCGTGCTGCTTTGTGGGGTGGAGACAGTTTTACACGCTTGGTGGGTCTTCTAGCCCCGTATCCTGCTGCTGTCAACCGTTTCCTGGCGGTCATGCAGGAAATTGCTGTCTCCCTGGCAACCACTGTTGCCTAAACGGTGTGCTTAAGCCTCAAGAGTGGGGCCTAACAAGTCTCAACAATTTAATGCTCTATCCTCTCTTGTGTTACAGGGTCTGTCAGGTCTTGGAGTGAGTGAGTGAGTTTAGTTTTACGCCGCACTCAGAAATATTTCAGCTATATGGCGGCGGTCTGTAAATACTCAAGTCTGGACCAGACAATCCAGTGATCAACAGCATGAGCATCAATCTGCGCAATTGTTAACCGATGGCAAGTTTGTCTGAGAACCATTCCTGCATTTCTCATGCCAAGATTTGACATCTTGTAGCCATTGACAATTTACAACATGCCATGACAATTAGGCCAAAGAAAAAAGATGTTGTGGTTCCGAATTACACCTCTTTAAAATTTAGGGTAGGTGGGTAGGGATTCTTTTTTTATACATTTTTTTTCAGAAGTAAAGTACGAACTAATAACACATTTATCAATGTGTAATTGTTTATTCAATCAAGCTTGCGGGCATCATGTCGACTTTCTTTATCAGAATGACCAATTTCCGTTGGTGACAGGAAAAAACAATGGTATCTGAAAGCGTATTTCATTCATACCTCTCAAAAAAAACTAGGGTCGGCACCAGAATTCAAGGGTCGGTCCGGTAATTGGAACCACAACAATTTTGTTTAGGCCTTATGACACTGTATATATAATCCAATTTGCAAGGAAATAGTGACATGTTATGAGTAAAACATGATTTTAACAATGTTGGGTGTATGACATTTCACGTGGATTGTGCGCCGCACGTGCACTGGATATCTCAACCAAAATCATGTTGTAGAAGGTGAAAAATGTTGAAAAATCATTCGCCAGAAAGCACTGTTTCTTAATTCATAGAATATAGATCTACGAATTGGGTGTTGCTTAATTAATTCCCACATGTTATACTGAAATTTACAACGAACTCCCCTTTCAGGAGTAGGTCTACTACAAACATTATATTAGACATTACTATGATAGAGTCCATCTCAATTACAAGCATGCTCAAAGCGTTTTGTTTTTCCCTTGTCAATCTCAACGACACATCGTATTTTCAAACTCAACTCCCTGGGGATCATACAACTCGTGCAGCCACTGAGCGCACTAAGTAAATGTGGTTTCCCATCCTTACGACAAAGGTGCAACCTGTATTACTCCAGTATGTGGGACACTCCTCACTGCAACGCCACCCGTCGCGAGATAACAACAGCGTTTCTGATTTCAGCCGATAAGTGGCCCCGATTCACCATAACCCATTGTTCGTCTGCAAACTGTAGCGTGACCGCTCCCAAAGCATATGCACGTGTCAAAGTGCAAAATCTGTGTCTATAATATTGCACTCAAGATGTTCGTGTTACTAATGTCAAGTATTGGGACGACAAGTTTCTGTGAAAATGTTTAGACGGGTAGTTGATTTTTAAAATGACAATTGTCAGTATTCCTGGAAGAGAAAGTAGGGGACAAGAATTATGTTTCCACCTCTCAGACTGGTTGTTTTATGTCCAGACGCTGTGAGATAAAAAGAGGAAAATGTGTGCAGCCCTGTTGTGTCTCCCAGTGTGTCGTGTCAGTTTGAACCACGTGAATTCCGTGCAGCACGTGCACTACCGTCGCTCCGACTTACGGCGGACCACAAGTTGATGGTGAAGCGGCCTCAGCCAGGTTATAAAACTTGGACAGACTGTGCCCAGGTGCGTTGCAATTGTCCTGTAAGGCTGTGACACCGATGTGGACTGGAAAGTTTGACAAGCTGTACACGAATTGATCATGATTGCCTAGTTCATAGTTGCTTGGGTGTTCTGACAAATTATTCAAACTAAACAAAATGAGATACTATTTTCTTCATTAAACTTGGTTAAAGCATTTTTTTAAATTAGCGTTTGAATAATTAAGTAGTCTGTTTTATGATGTAAATAAAACTGCAAAATTACTTGAAATGTAAATGAGCATGCGACATGTGAGAAATAAACACAAAATGCGAGTGTTTAAATTGTCAGAACTAAATATTTAAAATTATAGTCCGTTTGAATTACTGGATGGATTTAAACACAGCAATCTTACCCCAAATCATCCCATCACAGCTGTCATATGATTCAACCTGCTCTGAAGACTACGAAAACCACTGGTAAAACTGATCTAGCTTTGAGTTTTAATTGCCAGTTTTAGTTAACAAATTCAATTAAGTAATATCACTTCATGATACACACACCCCGCCGTGGTATTGCTGGAATACTGCTAAAAGCGGCGTAAAATCATACTCACTCACTCATGACACACACATACTGATCAAAAGTTATGTTTTCTTCATATGAAAGCTTTCATAAAATTATGTAATAATACACACGGTTATTCGTGTATGTAGAGAGAAGGTGAGGTGAGGTGAGGTGAGGTGAGGTGAAAGAGAGGTATGTAGAGAGAAAGTACTAATACAAAACTTGAATGTTTTGGGCCTTTATTTGCCGGCAGTGGTGTAGTTGTTCCCAAGACATGTACATGGTCAGTATCTGTAAGCATCAATAGATCGATCGTTTGATCGATGAACTTAGGCACCAGCACTTATCAAATTTTGACTTGACTCTAGAAAGAGAGAGAGTATGGTTTTACCCCGCTTTTAGCAATATTCAGCCATAATCAGGGTGAGCGAAACTAGATATGGGCTTTACACATTGTACCAATGTGGGGAATCGAACCCAAACGCCTTTACCACAAGACTACCCTATAGCTACAGTCCGTGATTCTAAGAGATGAAGATGTTCTTTCCTCTATTGTACTGGACTAACGGGATCGGTTGGTCAGGCTCGTGACTTGGTTGACACATTTCATCGGTTCCCAATTGCGCAGGTTGATGACTTGCCTCTGCATGTATTTGTGACGGGTTGGACTAGATATGATGACCTTTTCGCGAACACTTGACAGTAATTATAAACACAACCGAGTCTGCTTGTATAGACAGACACTTCTTACGGCAAATGGAAGAATTATGTCTCATAAATATATACTTGTGTATCCCTTAATTGGGGCTCTACATTTCCTCTGTCATCTTCTTCTACACCGCCTCCGTGGTGTAGTGGTTAGAGCAAGAGCGGAAGGTCGCGGGTTCGATCCCCGGCCGCGTCATACCAAAAGACGTTTAAATATGGTACTTGTTGGTCTCTGGCTGGCGCTCGGCATTAATGGGTACATAAAGCGCTAGTCAGTTCGGATTCAGTAGAATTCGTCTGAGTGGGGTATTCATGCCTAACTGAGGCGTGGTATCTCAGTGAGCTAGCACTATGAAACCAGCTTAAGTCTGGGCAAGTACAAGCAGCCACACATACACACGAATGCACGTCGTCATATGAGCGAAATATTCTTAAGTACAACGTTATACCCCATTTCACCTCACCTGTCACCTTCTACTACAAACGTACAAGCCGTCGACAAAAGGACCTCATAATATAACAAAGGGGCTTGTACAAAGCTTTGTACACACATTTTTCGAGCGCAACGCCAAGGCGACTCACACAATTAAAACTTACACACAACAAGCAGTTCTGGTTTATTTTTCAAATACGTTCTGAAAAAGAATGTTTTGTGACAGAGATTGACGTACGTAGCTAGAGAATGTAGGCATGCGTTTCACATTAAAACCACATTCTGACTATTGGCTCGCGAATAAGAACTTATACGTGAAGCGACAGTGACCTGATCTGCTTGCTTTGACTAAAGCTTCTCCAGCTGTTGGTTGTCTTGTGGGTAAGCTGCTCCAAGCTTGGTGAATATGCGATCAGAAAATATAGCAGTTTGCGTCCATGACCTTAATATCCAAAGTCAACCAATCATATGCAAGAGAAAATGCTCAGTAAATATTTACCTGATAAATATCACGCTATTTCTGTGAGATAAGCAGTGTTATAAAATCCTCACACTTCATCGTAATCAAGGAGTTTATAAACATATTCTGGTGACTGGAAAACAAATTTAAATGAAAAACGGACCTTATTAACACATTCTGGTTACATGAAGACAATATGGTTTCTGACGAGAAGTGATACTCTCGAAGGCTGCATTTGTAATGATGGTAGCCATTGTGGATGAAAAGTTTTTTGATAGTCGCTTGATTTATGTTATCTGAAAATATTTACGAGCTGAATATTTTACACAAATGTACGTTACTCTGGTTGTGTCTGATATTCGGGAACCCTGCATTTACAGTTCGATGAATGAACAAAAACATGTATCCACAATTCAAAATGCAAGTTTGTGGGAGGTTTCGGAGCTCACAAGAAGCCAGAAATCATTTTTCTTCCAAAATGTCTATACAATTGGTGAAATATTCACCACATGCGGTGTATTGCTTCTAGTTATTAATTCAATATAATTGTTATACAATGTGAATTACCTGTGTTTACTATTTCTATATTTGGATGTAATTCTCAGCTTTGACATGTTACTTCTATTATCATTGAAGTTGGTCATATTTCCATATGTCATTTTGTTCAAAAACACAAACGTGTGCCACAAAATTGACGCAGCTGTACTATAAGAGCGATGTTTGATCATGAGGATTCGTTATATTTTTCTGCATACTACAGAATAGTAATATCGTATAAAATCGGTACAGTGTGCCGTTTTTCACAATTAATGACTTATAAAATCCTTGCTGTGGTACTGATATGTCCATTACCTTTGAAGAATTGATGAAGCGCATGGATGATGGACGATGGGCAACCATAACTCACGTGAAACATATCGTTGTCATCATACCACTTCTGACTATACCCGTGAAGATCCGGGTTAGAACCGGTCTACAGTAACCCATGCCCGCGACTAACGGGATCGAGTGGTCAGGCTCGCTGACTTGCTTGACACATGTCATCGTATCCCAGTTGCGTAGAACGATGCTCATGATGTTGATCACTGGATTGTCTGATCCAGACTCGATTATTTACAGACCGCCGCCATATGGCTGAATATTGCTGAGTGCGGCCTTAAACAACAAACCAACCAACCAACGTCTGTCAAACACATTGTAACCTCAATATTTATTAATTCCTTTTCATACTGATACATTATTGATAAAAATGCGGCACAAAACGATGCTCACTCACACCTTGTTTGTTTCTTACAGCTCAGTATGACTGCACATATGAAGAACTTTTTCTTGATGAATCATGGAAATGTATATTAAACGATAACTTCAATGACAATAAATATAATCATTTTCAGCTGCGAATTACACAGTGCAGCTTACGCGCATTCTATGTTTACTACTAGGGTGTACCCGATCGTTTGGAGCAGGTGTACAAGGACCACTTAATCTTACTACCCGGTACGGGTTTGAACCCGAGTTTCGTGTGCAAGTGGATGGAAACCGCGTTGTTGTCCCCCAAGACCACTCCGACAACGTCATCCTCCTCCAAGGTTTTCCGAGCCAGTAGACTCATTGCAGCGGTGCCCAACTTCTTTCCCCGGAACGGCGGAAGTACAATCAGCAAGCCCAGCAAGTTGTGGAAATGAGTCGCAGCGTAGGCAGCCAGTGCCCCTGTCGGGTCTCGGAAACAGACTGTCGGATAGCCTCTCTCGACCAACAGATGTGTAAACTGGTCAAAACCGGGTTCCCTGAATGTCCAGTTTTCATTCACGTGCGAGAGAGCGTCACTACCAAAGGGTACTTCTTGAAATCCATCCGGTAGTTTTCTGTTGAAATAAGAGTTTTGCTTACATTGCCCTTATTTTTCTTCAACAAATATGTAATACTTCAAAATGATAGTGACAAGTATATCTTGTAGTATGCACTGGCCAAATTTATTGTCCCCGGCAAAAACAAGTATCCACTTAAAACAGAATTTGACCGAAAAATTACAAACGTTATCAAAATACTACAAGATTGAAAATTGGGCGCCGGAATTATACAAACTTAAGTTCCAAAAGGCAGATGTAATACAGATGTATTAAATAAATCACCTTCAGATAACTAGTTCTTGTTGATTTCGGGGAGTTTGGCCACCATGAAACATGGCATTATGTATTGTTTTGTTCAGCAGTTAAGACTCTTTACTGATATCACACCCAGAAATCGGCTGCACACATTGTACCCATGAAGTGGGGAATCGAACCCGGGCCTTCAGCGTGAGAAGCGGACGCTTTAACCACTAGGCTACCCCTTCTAGGAGGCCAGTATACATTACGGCTAAGTCACACTCTCGGAATCTACAACTTGAAAAAAACAGTGAAGCAATCAAATTATGAATACGTTTATAAGCTTCGGGAAATCCGCTTCGTTTAACGGTTTAGCTAACAAGCTGTTATAACTTTAGCTAAGTCTTGAGACACGTACATGTCAACTAATGTGTCACGTGATACTGTATATATCGGTGTATCTGCAAGCCAACGGATGTTGCCTCTATCTTTGGCTCTCTGTTCCACCAGAGGCCACACCGTGTCGGACACGCCTGTAAATTTTAGCAAATGTATAACATTATTATACCTCAAAGTGAGATTGGCCAATCAGAGAGCAGAACTACTTTCCCCTCATGAACCGCACACCGTCAGCTAAAGTGAGTGAGTGGGTGAGTTTAGTTTTACGCCACACTCAGCAATATTACAGCTATATGGCGGCAGACTGTAAATAATCGAGTCTGGACCAGACAATCCAGTGATCAACAGCATGATCATCAATGTACCCAGTTTGGATACAATGGCATGTGTAAAGCAGGTCAGCGAGCCTGACCACCCGATCCCGTTAGTCGCTTCTTACGACAAGCATGGGTTACTGATCTTCATGGGTCATTTGATAGGAATGGTAATGCAATGTTTGTCATTCATAATTTACTCTATATGGTATCTTAGTCTCAGATGTCATATGATATACATTATGCAGAAATTGGTCTCAATTTCCTGTGTTGTTGATATGGACAGGGCAATGTGAATGTAGCTGTACATGTATTTCTTCATATAGAGTCGATATACACTAAACGCCAAAAGATACGTTACCCTCCTACCTTTATGAATTACTTAAAAAATATCAAAGATTTGTTAGAAAATATTAGTTTACAACAAATCTTAACAACACCGCTTTATGCAAATCACGAAAAAGAATTCTCAAAAGCATTCATATTTAGCTGAAATGGATCTTGTTTAGGAGAGTTAAATTGTCCTATTTTCGACCATGCCGTAATAAACCAATAATAGTGATTTAGATGTCCAGAAGAAAGGTTGAAATGAAATTCTGCTTTGAGACAAAGATAGAAATTCAAAGTCACCATTTTGCAACTATTAAGACAAGAAACAACTGTTATAGAGTGTGTAAAACTGTAAAACATCATTCCTGTGATTCCAGTCTTTTAAAACATTTTCTGCTGATTTGCATTATTGAAAACAAGTACAACGTGTCTTTGATATTGTCAAAAAGTGTTTAGGAACACCTAAAATTAACTTCGTAGTAACATTTTCCCATTTTCTGTTTAATTAATCATATAGCAATATCGATCGCTAAAGCGTAGTAATATTCAAGCAGTATTTGCATCAATTTCACGTGCAGAATAATTCTATAGGGTATAAAAAGAGCCTAGAATGCATGATATGATACACAGGTACGAGAAATATGCCACGATTAACAGCTGAAGGGAGATAAAGAGCCATTGGGATGTTGCAGATGGGGTCGACATACAATGCTGTTCCCAACGCCCTCGGATGCCACCATATCACGGTTATAAGACTTATTCAGCGCTACAGACAGACTGGGGTCACCGTAGATCGACCAAGAAGTGGATGTCCACACATCACAATGCAGCAGAAAGTTTCATCATCATTTCAAGAAATTCATTAAGGAAGGAGGGTGCCGTTTCTTTTGGTGTTTAGTGTATTTGTCGTTAGATATAAATGTGTTCGTGCAAAACACATTTTAAGAATATTTAGTGTCAAATTAAATGTGAAAAGAGAACAGGGCAGTTACATTTTGTCAGAACTCAAACTTTCAGTTTTGTTATATGTACCAAGTTTGATGTCGTCATTCCAAGTGATGATCCGTGGGTCGTCAAGGAGTGACGTCATACTCGCCACGTCTTGACTGTCAACGATATAATACTTGCCGGTGTAGGGGTCCTGTAATGTTAGCAAATTTAGTTTTTGTAGTGAGTAAGTGAGTTAAAATTTACAGTCACATCGGCAATATTTCAGCCATATCGTGACTAAAACAAGTTTTAAATTCACCATAAATACATGTAAATTATAAAAACCTGTCAACGAAGGACAGTAAAACCAACTAGAATATCACAGTATCAAGAATTAAAACTAGCATCTCTGTCTAATATTGGATTTCAAATTAGAACAAGACAGTATGAAAATTGGCTATAGATCGCCAACAACTGGAGGTAGATCACCATACTTGAATTGGGACCATGGGGACTGAAAGTGCCTTTGCTACCTGCATGGACCCTAGTTGGATTTACACCATCCCTTCACTGACTGACTGACTGACTGAGTTTAGTTTTACGCCGCTTTTAGCAATATTCCCGCAATATCACGGCGGGGGACACCAGAAATGGGCTTCACACATTGTGCCCATGTGGGGAATCGAACCCTGGTCTTCGGCGTGACGAGCCAACGCTTTAACCACTAGGATACCCCACCGCCCACACCATCTCTTCAGATGTTAGCGATTGTATACAAATTCAGCCTTAATTTAAAATAGCATAAATCCTACGATTAAATAATGTGGTAGGTTAAAATTTTCCTTGAATGTTTTGGGACTTACATACCCTCTCAGGAGGACAATAATTTTACAGTACTTTAACCCCCTTTGAGGATACAACCACTATCCATCTCAGTTACTAATCTAAACTACCAATTATAAAAGTACATCTATTTACAAGACATATTAATCAAAATTTGTCTACCAATTCGATCTCTTTTAAAAATGCGATCATAACATGATGATAAACATTATAACAAAAAATCCTTAACAGTTTTAACACTGAAATATTTATCCCTTGTGATGGAAAACTCAACACAGTCAAGCAGGACATGCTTGACCGTGATTCTTTCATCACAAGGGATGCAAAACGGAGGATCTTCACCTTTCAATAAGTATTGGTATGTATACCGCGTATGGCCGATGCGACATCGTCGCATAATGACCTCCTCAAATCTGAACTGACAACCCAAGTAGTTGTAACCAATATAGGGTTTTATTTCATGTAATTTATTCATACCTACTAGGGTGTCCCACTTCTTCTGCATCAGATGACGGATGTAAAATCTAATGGTTGCTTTGTAATCAGAAGAAGTGGTGCCACAGATTTGTTGAGTGCTGCCTTGGCAGCAAGATCGGCCATTGTGTTCCCACAACGTGGCTGGGTTACCAACAAAAGGCGATGTCGCATTGGCCAGTAGCAATAAACATGATATACTGTTTATATTTGAGGTTTCTATTAATATATCACATACATTTAAGAGGTGTTAGTATTGCGTTTACTTCTGCAGTGAAAATAGAGCTATTATCCGGTAATCGAGAAGATATTGTTCTGGATCCAACGACAGTAGCACATGCCACTGCGCCACCGTCCTTGGATCCATCTGTAAATAAGGATTTGTATGATTTATATTTACTTTTTAATTGATTAAATTCTTGTTTATATTGTAATTAATTTCTTTCTGATTTTTTAAATGTTGTCAGTGGTAGGTCAACGTCTGGCCTTAGCAGCTGCCAAGGAGGAGTAGAAAGAAGACGGGAAGGAGATATATTCTCTAGCTCAATGTCAGCAGCAGAAGGAAAGGTTTGACCCTTACGTAGTTGTTGTAAACACAGTGAGCCAAGCGTTATAAAATCATTACATACATTCAGGCGATTCGGAACCGCACTGACCCGTGAAGGTCCGGGTTAGAATGAACCTTCAATAACCCATGCTTGTCGCAAGAGGCGACTAACGGGATCGGGTGGTCAGGCTCGCTGGCTTAGTTGACATATGTCATCGGTTCCCAGTTGCGCAGGTTGATGTTCATGCTGTTGATCACGGGATTGTCTGGTCCAGACTCGATTATTTACAGACCGCCGCCATATAGCTGGAGTATTGCTGAGTGCGGCGTAAAATTAAACTAACTCACTCACTCGGAGGTTTGTCCCGCAGTGCTCCTAAAATATCCCGCATAAATATTGCTGAGTTCGAATAAGCATTGTTCGGAGTGCAAATACCATAACTGTTCATGATGGACATCGTGTAAGTTTTATCGGAATCTTTAAAACGCGTTTACTGGATGTTTTTAAACAAAACTGGAGATCCGATCTTGACAATAGCACACGTTATAAGTCGTTCACTGGTCACGAGGGGGACCCTCGATGTTTGTTTATGTTCCCTCAGCCCGAACATAAGGGAACGAGGCGAGGGGAATATAACAAATATCGATGGTACATCAACCCATGGGCCCCGAGGGACCAGTGAACAACATATTTATCTTACCGAACACTTCAATGTTAATTTTGAACTGTTTGAAGCACGGGTATTGGATCATAATACGGAGTAACTGAGTTAGGCAACAGCCCAAACACTACAAACACGAAGTACCAAATGAATTCCCACAGTTCGGCATTTCCATAGGGTAACATAGAAAATATTACTCGATTTTGAGCGGGGTAGTTTGATTGGCTAAGCCAATCAGAAAACGACATTTATGTGTGAGATAGTATGTTTTGTACAGAGAATTCAAAAGCTTATTAAACCCTGAAAAAAGTACCTTCTTGAATTTGCAGATTATAAATTACGGAAATATTTAGTTAGATTTAGAGCTGGATTACTAAGGTTACAATTTAAGGAAGGACGATGGTGTAAAATTAACACAAACCTGAGAACATGTCCTATCTGTTACGGAGGTCTAGAAGACGAATACTATTTTACTTCCATTTATCCTATATATGATGACTTCCATCGTAAATATTTACCAAGTGACTTCAAAACGAATATGTATAACTTTAAGAAACTACAAATAACGTACATAGTTTGAAAATGCTCAGCTTATATATAATACATTTTGATGAACGAAGATGTAAGTCTGGCTTTTTTGTCAAGTTTTTGAATAGAAGACAACCCAAATTATGTCTAATCATTTATTCTTTAGAAAACACTGTCAATGTAACAGCTAAAAGTTGCTGTTGACATTGAATTGCACTAAGTTCAAATTGATCACAGTCCGTCAAATGGAGATACCCCTGAACGCGAAAAGTGACAGTCTCTTTAGTAGCGCGTATAGCCACCTTGAGCTTGCACACAGGCCATGCAACGTGGCCTCATTGAGTTCACTAGAGTCTGAGAATGCCTGATGCAACTGGTTCCGCTCAAACACCAATCTCCATTCCAATTGTGCAAGTGTGAGTGGCTGTCTACCTGCAGCAATCCTCCGTCCAATTTCGTCCAAGAATGTTCAATGGGAGCGATATCCGGGAAAGAGAAGGCCATGTTGTTCTGAGCCAGATAATCCATCGACACCCTTGCTGTGTGAGGGCTGCAAACGTCGCTGGCGTTGATGACGTGCCAAAATTGGCCCCACATATGGCCTTCGGCAGTGGATTCCAGCAGCCCGAGGACGACGCCTAATCGTATCGCTTGGCACTGCTCCCCTTGACCCAAGAACTAAGGCTGCTGTTACTGTTGCTGCTTGAGTTCGGTTCCTTAGATGAGTGACCCGGATGAACCGATCTTGCGCATGAGTTGTCACTCGTTGCAGTCCGGTACGGGGACGATCAACAGCAACCCCCTTTGCTGATGACGTTGAGCAAGTCGTGTAATGGTGGTAAGATGACAGCCCAAATGTCTAGCTACAGCGGTTGCTGTGCTACCTCCGTGTAACTTTTGTGTAACCGCATTATTTACGCTCCAAGAAACTGTTGCTTACTACAATGAAAGAGAAACGCCAGTATACTGTGCATTTGTCGATAATGAAAAAGCATTCGACCGGGTTTGGCTTAATGGTCTTTTCCTAAAACTGCAAAAACTTTGGAATTAAAGGTAAAATGTGGAGACTTTTATACATACTTTCTTCATCAATGAAATCACGTATTAGCATTGGCGGACATATTTCGGATACCTTTGAAATACGTCAGGGTGTTGGGCAAGGACGGGTCCTATCGGCTTGGTTGTTTACATTGTACATTAACGATCTGTTAAATGCTGCTGATAATTCAGGAAGAGGCTTAAACCTGCCCTGGGCCACTACCCCTGGTATCCTACTTGCAGATGATACAACCCTATTAAGTTGTACACCCGATGGTCTTCAATGTTTATTGAATGTTATATCTGATTATGCAAAAACATGGCACCTTAGGTTTAATGCTGGTAAAAGTGCCTTCCTTCTGTTTGGTGATTATCATAAACACGAATGCCCAGAGCTATATTTGGGTGATCATGTTATTAACCGCAAAACCGATGTCGTATATGCGGGCCTGTACATAAACACTGCTAAATCTACCCTTAGTCGTACTGTTTTAATATGTGAAAAGCTTAGAAAGCTAGTCAATGTTAACCACAGTCATGGATTGTATTTTGTCTTCACCCTATGCATGCTGTACGCATATGGGAACGTATTGTACTACCCTGTGGTCTATTTGCCTGTAATATGTGGTGTAACTTATCAACTAAAGAATACGATATGCTTGAATGTGTGCAAAAATACTTCTGTAAAAAAGTACAAGGGTTCTCTAAACGCACGTGCTCGGTCATTGCCAGAGACTGTCTTGGACTTGTATCACTACGTGCGTATATTGATCAGAGAGCATTATTGTTCCTGTGAAGACTGCTTAACACTGACATTAGTTTCATTTTCAAACGAATTCTTTACTATAGATTAGCTCAACATGATTGTAAGGATAGTATGCAAAACATGCCGAAGTGTAAATCCTCTCCTTTACACCATATGTTATATCTTACCTGTAAATATGATCTTACTGAATATGTTGACATTTATCGTAACTCATCTGTATTTGTTACCAAAAATCAATGGTCAAATCTTGTAAGAGATAAAGTCTCAAAATTTGAAGCAAATGTCGTTACCTCTGAGCTTAACTACAGAGTCAATCTCCACAGATACGCTCTCCTACGCAATCCAGCTGCTGGTAACAAACTTTGGTTAATAGCTCTTAATGATTCAGATTATTTCTATGACATATCCTACCTTATCCGTGTCGGCACTCTCGCTATACAATCTAAAGAATGCTTATGTGGCACATATGCTTATGACATTGTAAAACATGTATTTCTCTTTTGTCCAAAAACGGAATGTAACAGAGAGCGACTACTTAGCTCCCTCATTGATCTATTGGATGTTACAACCTTTGTAAGTGTTTGGAATGATGATGATGATGCACTGATTAGTTTTATACTTGGGGGAGTGCCAAATGACAACATTAGAGATCTTGATACTGATCTATGGATTCAATGTATGAAAATCACGAGTAAAGCTGTTTATGAATAGAAACGGTTTTTCATCACATGTTACTAGATTCACATCCCACCCATATATACATATCTTTAAATGTTCCATAAACATGAACACTTACCTTCATGAGATTTCATTTTTTCGAAACTTGCGTTTCTTTTGCTGTTCAGTATATTACAAGAATGGTAATATTAAAGACCATATTATACTTTTGTATTATCATATCATACCTGTATCTATTTTATCCATATTAATCTGTATTGTATGTTCTGATTATTTGTATGCATGTATGCGGATGGGCGTGTATACAATTATGTAAATTGTATTGTATGTATGAAGCTGTATGTATATTGGCCCGATGGCCTTTGTACGGAAATAAAGTTTTGAATGACTGATTGATGTGGCTGCAATGCTCAGAGTTCGTATTACATAATATTTCATGTGTAAGCATTTTTGGAAGTAAGGATAACACGATTATGTATGTGTAAACAAATGCTCAATGTTCGAAGAGCATATGAATATTCAGTACAAAGCAAAACATGACTTTGGGACAACTTATGACTACATATTTACAGTGAAGCCTCGTTAATCCGGACGGTTGCGTTTCTCAGCAAATTTGTCCGGATATCGAATTGTCCGGACTACTGAATTAATTATCTTACCTCACACATAAATGTCGCTTTCTGATTGGCTGAGCGCTCTTCTATTATTTTCAATGTACCCCGCTTACAAGCGAGGAAAATTTCAATGTACCCCGCTGTCAATGACAACTCATTTGGTACTTCGTGGTAGTAATTTTTATCTCGAATAACATTGAATCACGTATGATGTACGGAAATTACCGATGTTTTACTAATGCAAATCGATGGAAGGGCGATAACTCTAAATCTGTTTTTTCTTGTCAGCACAATCTAGCGATGGCTACAATAAGATTTGTACCCTTGCTTCAAACAATTAAAAATTAACATTAAGGTGTTCGGTAAGATAAATATGTTGTTCACTGGGGCCATGGGTTGATGTACCCTCGATGTTTCTTTATGTTCTTTATTTTCGGGAACCATCTGCGAGGGGAACACCTCTTACCATCTGCTTTTCGCCGGACGGTTTCATGACGATAGATTTGAACTCTGGCCAGCTGTCCACCCACATCTCGAACCCTTCCCACTTCCCCTCCATCAGCTTTTTCAGCAGTCCATACACCTGTAACATACATAAAATGTTACCTGTAATAGTCTACATCGTAACCTGTAATGTCCATACACCGTTACCTGTAATGTACATACACCGTTACCCTTAATGTCCATACACCGTAACCTGTAATGTACATACACCGTTACCCGTAATGTCCATACACCGTAACCTGTAATGTACATACACCGTTACCTGTAATGTACATACACCGTTACCTGTAATGTACATACACCGTTACCTGTAATGTCCATACATAGTTACCTGTAATGTACATACACCGTTACCTGTAATGTCCATACACCGTTACCTGTAATGTCCATACACCGTAACCTGTAATGTACATACACCGTTACCTGTAATGTCCATACACCGTTACCTGTAATGTCCATACACCGTAACCTGTAATGTACATACACCGTTACGTGTAATGTCCATACACCGTTACCCGTAATGTCCATACACCGTTACCCGTAATGTCCATACACCGTGACCTGTAATGTCCATACACCGTTACCTGTAATGTCCATACACCGTTACCTGTAATGTCCATACACCGTAACCTTTAATGACCATACACCGTGACATGTAACACACATATACTCTAACAGGCAATATATAAACGCTTAATCTTGTAATGTACAAAAATCGTAACGTGTAACGCACATAAACCGCAACTGTTAATACACATACACGTCCATTAGGAAAGTGCACGTAAAATCTCCAGATCACCATCACTATCGTCAGAAATACGGTTTTTACACCGTGTCCTGTCCTGTCACCTGCAATACACCATTATCATCATCAAAATCTTTATTATGTATGAGTGAGTGAGTGAGTTTAGTTTTACGCCGCACTCAGCAATATTCTAGCTATATGGCGGCGGTCTGTAAACAATCGAGTCTTGGCCAGACAATCCCGTGATCAACAGCATAAGCATCGATCTGCGCAATTGGGAACCGATGACATGTGTCAACCAAGTCACAATACGTATGAAGGCCACACATTAATACACATATTCTAAACAGGTATGAAGTTGTGAACGAAAAGACAAAACAATTTCTTAAAAAATATCAGTGAAAAATATCAGTAATATACTGAGAGAAACAAAAATAAGGGATGGGAAGTCTGTCTTCCACATGCACTAGGCTGTTGTGTTTGGGCGTTTGAATCAAACATGGTGCTGGTGTGTTTCAGCACCCTGGTTTTTCGCTCTTTTTAACAATGTTTCATTTCACTCAAACTCAACGAATATTGATTCAGTTGCTTCACTTCATGTTCCAACATGTCGTTTAAAGTGCCTATTAAGCACACAATAAGTTGCATTTACCTTAGAGTATAAATGACCTCACCACTTTTCAGCTTATATATGACTGTCAAATTTTAGGGTGTTCCCATATTTTTTGTTTGTAGTATATATTGGCTGAATTTCGCTGTCAAATATCTTTAAAAATACTTTAATGGGTATTGGTCCTAATTTCCTTAAGTGTATAGTTAATTCCATTAAAGCCTTCTTACTACGAGTTGCAAGTTCTGTCTAAGACTGCAATTACACGTTAACACAAAACCTAGACATTTGTAGCTGTTTACCGTTTCAGTGTTTCTCCCATTATAAAGCCAGTTTTCCTTAACCGCTAATTTCCCACCTCTCCTAAATACAAGAACTTTTAAATTTATCTAAATTTACACTTAATCCCCACTTATCTGCATACGATTCTAAAGCGTCTAGCTGGCACTGAAGACCACCAATAGCATCTGACACCAGAATTACATCATCCGCAAACAGCAACATTAGGAATCCAGGTACATCTGGAAACAATTGGACTCCATGTTTACCATAATCTGTGATTTCTACAGAAAGTTCATTTATAAACAATGAGGATAACATTGGACTCAACATACAACCCTGCCGTAAACCAAATGGAAAATTAAAATGTTCCGTTAACTCGGATTTTACTCTAACACATGATTTCACTGTTTTAAATATCCTCATGAAAACATTTCTACCGTTTACGCCGTATGATGAGAGTTTATCTCTATTTACAAAATCAAGAACTTTTTTAAAATCAGTGAACGCAACGTATATCTGTTTCCTTCTTCGGCATAGATTTTTCTCCATGTGAAGATATGGTCAACAACTGAATAACCCTTCCGAAAACCAGCATGAGTTTCAGAAACTTTATCCATAACATTTGCCCATTTTGTTAGTCTTTTATTTGAAACACCAGTACATATATACTCATCAGCAAAAACCCCGTCAGTATGAATTCAAAATTAGATAGGCACTGTAATCAAATCATGACAGAAATGGACATGATCAGCGGATCAAAAACATTTTTTTGTGTACAATATCCTCACGCATCAATGAATAACTCAAAATTCCAAGACATTACGTGAACGTTTGCAGTCCATTCAGACTCTTAACTTCAGTATCTAGTGTGACCACCACGAGCGGCAATAACTGCAGCACAGAGTCTAAGCGTGGAGTGCACCAATCGATTGATGAAGGCCATTGGCACCTGGAACCACTCTCTGAGAAAGGCCTGTCGCAATAAATCGGCTGTGTTCGGCTTTGGTATGACATTATTCAGTCTCCTCTGAATTTCACCCAAAAGATATTCATTTGGGTTTAAATCAGGACTAAGGGCTGGCCACTGCATAATGTTGACACCGTTCTGCTGTAGGAAGTCCCGTGTAGCTCTGGCAGTATGGGCCCGGGCATTATCATGATGGAAAATGTTGTTCCGGTGACGTGCGAAATGTGGTACGACGTGGGGTCTGAGAGCTTGGTTGATTTAACGCACCGCTGTGATGCCGCCACCTCTCCCTGGACCAAAGTTCTGGAACACCACAGGACCCACTCTCTGGTTCAGGCCTATTCCACCCCATACTATGATGCTTGCACCTCCCCATGAGTCTTTCCATAACACATTGGTCTGAGTAACGCTGGCCACGTCGTCGCCTTATTCTTGTTCTGCCATCTGCAGTTGATACGCAGTACCGACTCTCATCTGTGAACAGAACAGTTCTCCATTGCCTGTATCGCCAGTTTTGGTGTTGTAGGGCAAACTGTAGACGTTCACGCCGATGACGAGGGGTGAGAATAGGTCAACGGTAAGGTTTATGGCAATGGATGTTCCCACTGTACTGATTGGTCTTCCGTGTGTTCCCACTGTCTGGCGTGCTGTTTCGGATGCCTGCATGAAGGGATTCTGTACATGCTGTCGCACAACATGGCGGTCTTGTCGTCTTGTGGTCACCCTTGGTCTGCCAGTACGGGGGCGATCATTCGTGGTGTTGGTGGCCCGGAAACATTGCTGCTGCCTGTAGATGGTCCTAACATTGACCTGGAAGTGATTGGCAACGGCTTGTGCAGTGTGGCCAGCTTCAAGTCTTCCTAACGCCTGGGTCCTCTGAGCTGTCGTGAGTCGCGGCACCCTGCTGGCGTTGTAACATGAATGTTTCAACCAGGTTTGGGGGTGCATTTTATAGGGCTGGTCCTTATGAAACGCACATGCAGTATGAGTTGCATGGAAAACATGGAGAACACCGTACCATCTCCGAGATCAGGTTGCGTTTTTGAGACCATTTCCTGTGTTCCATTCTGAGTTTGGGAAGGAATGTCTTTGCTCAGGTAAAGTTGGAGATGTTGTCAAAAATATACAATCAAAACATTAGATGAGTTTACAGTTATCCGTTTCTGCGAAGGAAAATTCCAAACTGACGTTTCTTTTGCTGCTTAGTATATATATTTTCCCGAGTGAGCTGAGTACAGATATCGGGAATATTTACATCACCCTTTTTGTGCATAGGAACTATAATTGCTTTACTCCACATTTGTAAAACAACCATTTAAAAATATTTTATTGAACATTGCCACTGAAAAGGGCATTATTTTAGATTCGCTTGCTTTAATCATTTCTATGAGGACGTTATCAATACCTGGAGATTAACCATTTTTCATATGCTGTACAGCTTTGTGAATTTCTTCTTCTGTTATAATGGATTCAAGTATCTCCTTATCCACATCACTTATTTCGACAGATTGGTCCAAATTGAGTAGTACATCTGGTTCAGTTATATACTCTCTCAAAAAAAGAAACGCATATAGGAATTTCAACTGTATTTTTATCTTTATTTTGAAACATCTTGTAGGCTTTAGGAGTCAATGAAATATAGCGAAATTGCACACTGGGACTGCAGACTTATCCGTCTTTGGCACCAACTCGAGGAAAGTCAGTTTGAGTGTCACATGGAGACGTGTGGTGGCGCTGAAGTCAATACCTCGTGTGACCACCGTGGGCATCCAGAACTGCACGGCATCGCCTCGGCATCGAACGAATAAGTCTCAGAATCTCAATCGCAGCCCACTCTGCCTGTAGTGCCTGTGCGAGTTGCTGAAGTGTCTGGGGCTGAGGGTTACGGCGTCGCACCCGTCTGTCCAGGGCATCCCACAGATGTTCGATCGGGTTTAAGTCCGGTGATCTTGAGGGCCAGGGGAGCACATTGATGTTGTGGTTCTGGAGGAAGTCTCTAGTGTGACGTGCTGTGTGGGGCCTGGCATTGTCCTGTTGAAACAACTCCCTCTGGCGATCAATGATTGGAAGGAGGTGTGGGCGTAGGATTTCGTCACAGTACCGTTGAGCTGTCAGGTTGCCCTGGATCATCACCAAATCACTTCTCCTACGGCAGGTGATCGCTCCCCACATCATAACACTGCCCCGGCCGAATCTGTCCACCTGGGAAACGCAAGCGTCGGCGAAACGTTCACGTCGACGTCTGTACACCCGCATTCTTCCATCGCGTCGTTCCAATAGAAAACGTGATTCATCACTGAACCAGATTCTACGCCAATTCGGTAGGTTCCAGGCCTGAACGTTGGTGCACCATTGAACTCGATGTCGACGATGTTGTTGTCGAAGCACAGGGCCAAAATAAGGTCTTCTGGCACGTAAACCAGCCTCTCTCAACCTGTTCCTGACAGTCTGTGCAGAAACGCTCCTCAATCCGGG